GAGAATATCTGACAAATTTTCAAGTACAGAGCCTCCGAATCGGTTTAAGCTGCATTATGATTGATGCGGCGAAATTTAGCCAACAAAGGTGCGAATTAAATTACTTCGTATTGTCTCAGGCGACAAAGCAATTCGCACCTCACCTGTGCCAACAATAGCTCAGCAAAAAATCGATGTGACCATTTAATTGAAACGTGACAGGAAACAGACCAATAAGCCCAGTATTTTACAGCTAATTATCTCTCTAGTGCATAATAAGCGTGGCTCAGTGTCTGTGCTGTTAATTTCCACAAGAGTTTTTTTTTTAACACAACGTGGCTATTTACATTGTAATCTGCGTCTGCAATGGAAAGCTCTATTGGTAGATTTTACCGATTTGCAAAGTTATTCGGTATTTTTTTCAGTTTCCTATTTATACAGGGTGTTCGGAATTCTGGCGCAGTTTTATCTTAGCAATCTTCACTTTACCGGTACATGTCCCTTTACCTGAAATCCAAATTTAATTTTCCGCAAACTTTCCTAACGCATTTTACGAACACCCTGTATATTAGCAGATGGTCGTTTTTTTTCGAATGAGGCGCTTTCGCCAACAACTGCCGATGGTGGCGCTGCGAAACGCCAAATTTCTCGTTGTCGAGTGACAGCTGACAGTTGAGACTTGTCAGGCTTGTTTAATTGTTGGAGTTGATGACATCTATAACATTAAACAATATTTACACCCTTTTCGATCGGGTTCTCTGGGTTTAAAGGCCTGAAAAAGGTGAGTAGAACTAAGCAAAGTAAGTTGCAATGACATCTACTCAAAATAAGTGTCAAATTTTACTAGTAAAAGTGTAGTTATAGTATAGGAAGGTGGAAGGAGAACTTAATGTTGATTCGTTGACGTTGGTCAACTGCGCGCTTTGACCGTTTACGCTCGCTATTCGCACTCTAGGCGATCAGTAGGCAAAGCGATGTGGCTGATAATCGACTATTTGGTGTTTCAGTGCGACCAAAGCGGTGGAGGCGTCGCGGGCAAAACAGGAGGCGACGGCCCATCCCTATGGGCCACCTCGTTCGAGCGCCTCTTGGAGGATCCGGTAGGCCTGCATGCTTTCGCAGTGAGTACCCGGTCCCAGTCGCCCCCGAAACGATCGCCTACAGGTCTGGATGTTGCAGGAGTTTTTAAAAAAGGAGTTCAGCGCGGAAAACATCTACTTCTGGACGGCGTGCGAGCGCTACCGACGCCTGACCGCGCAAAAGGAACGCAGCTGCGAAGCCCAAAGAATCTTCAAGCAACATTTGGAGAACGGGGCGGTGGAGGCGGTCAATGTGGACGCCCAGGGCGTCCAAGCGGCCGAACAGGGGCTGGACAATCCCGGGCCCGATATCTTCGACACGGCTCAGAAGCAAATCTTCAACCTCATCAAGTTCGATAGCTATCCGAGGTTCCTGAAGTCGCAACTGTACAAGCAGTGTCTGAGCGGGGACGTTTTCACACCTACGAATGATGCAAGGTTAGTTCAAGCTTAGTCAAATGGGGACATGCTTCAAATGTGTCGTTTCTTTTGCAGATTATCGCTCTACAACAACACGCAATCAGCGCTCGGCACGCCGAAGCTGAAAAAGTCGCTGAGCAACGCTGAGGATCGGCGCAGAAAGTCGCTGTTGCCGTGGCACCGGAAGAACCCGACAAATCAGCGCTCAAAGTCCCGCGATCGCAACGAAACTCAGAAAAGTTGGGACGGCGTCTTGACTATTCCCGATAAACGGTTGGCGAGCGCCAGCGACATTCATTCCAGCCATTCGTCGCTGACTTCGCTAGACTTAGCAGCCAGTCAGGTAAACCTCCGCAATCAATCAACGCGTGAGATTCAACCAAAAAACGACTTTTCGCAGGAGGCAGTCAGGCAGGACGTGGGTCCAGAAGCCAGGACGTCGCTGTGCAGAGTGTTGCTGACCAATGGGAGCACCACGGTGGTTCAGATCAGGGAGGGCGATTCCATTCAGCAACTCATCAACAGGTTGCTGGAGAAGCGGGGACTGACCTACTCGTCCTATGAAGTGTTCACCAACAAGCACCCGAAGGTGGGTTTCGGATGGAACCAGTGCAACTTGGGGGTGGAATTACATCAGCTTCTCGCCCATTTGCAGGCTTTGGACATTACGGAACCATCAACCAAGCTGGCAGGCTGTGAAGTGACCATCGACCAACGGGTGGTGTTCAAACTGGACCTCCCCAACAGGAAAATCATCTCCGTCAAGTCCAAGTCCTCCAAGCTGATAATCGACGTGCTGCGCCCGATTCTCCATAAGTACAAGTTCAGTCTAGACGAAGTGAATGTTACCAAGGCTGGCTACCCTGTGGATACTGGCCTTGCCGTCACTACGATCGACAATGCCCGATTAAACATTCAGCTGAAAGGTTAGTTTGGGTTGATGATTCTTGCATTAAATGGACAAAATGTTGGTTTATTAGTAGCGAAAGTTTAATTTTTTTGCCATAAGCAAGGAGTTTTTGACGCATTTTCATATGAGACCTTTTTGGAGCGATTTTTTGGTGGTGCTTTTTGAATAGAACTGATTTAACTTACAATGCTGAAACTTTTAGACGAATCCAGCTGCCCAGCAGCCGCCAGGCCAGTGCTCAAAGTGAACAGCGTGGAAGTGGACAAGCTAGAAGAAATCACCAATAAAGTATTCGAGGGTATTTTGCAGGAAAAGTCCCAGGGGGAGACGATGAAATCGTCCAGGTCAGACAAAGGCTCAGTGAAGGTACAACGCAAACTTTCTTGTTAAGTGCCAGGATAAACAATTGCGGGATTTCCAGAGCGAAGACTGGGGTTCTGAGCACTCATCGGGCCTGTTAGGCAAATTCCTGCGCCGCGACTCGGGCGTTCACGACAAAAAAAAGAAGATTGCCTCCCAACGGCCTAAACTGCCGTGCGAAAGCGAGGCCAGTCTGGACAGCAACCACAAGAAGCCTCTGATAGCGAAATTAAAAGCTGGCGCCAATAAGCTGCATGTGGCTGCGTGCAGTGAAAGCGACGGTAAGCTGAGCTGCAATCGGAAAATTCCCGGTTTTCAACAGTTTCCTATTTGTCGCAGAACTAGTGGAAGGCCTGACCAGAGCCCAGCGTCGCTTAGAAGACCAACGAGGCACCGAAATCAACTTCGAGTTGCCGGATTTCCTCAAAGACAAAGACGACGAGCGGCAGTGTGGCCGGCCGATTCAAACCCTACCGGATACTCAGGCAAAAGTGGCGTTAACGAAAAACCAGCGCCAATCAGGCTCGCCTAACTACGAAAACCAACACATCACAGTGTCGTCCACTGGACGAAACCCTGTTAAAGTCCCAAGTATTCGAGTGGAGGTGAAGGGCCCCAAAATGGACCCGCCCCCTTTACCGCCTAAGCCCAAAATCGTACCTATAAAACCCCCAAATTGGGGCCATGCCGGCTTTTATAAAGCCAAAGACGCGCCTCTGGACAAGCACACCGAGATGTTTCTTGAGCAGCCGTCGAGCAGCTTTGTATAAAGTATTTATTGATGTGATGCGTTTTTTAACAAATTATTTTATATTTATTTAACAAGAAGATTCATTTTAACATAGTATTATTAAATTAATAAAGTTTGTTTTTTGTAGATTGGTGAACTTCACATTTTTTGCCACTTCCTGCGTTCATAAGTAGCACGTTTTATTTGTCTGCTTTACGCAGAGAATTGTTAAAGAATTTTCAAATTAAGTTCAAATTCTCGGAAACTGTGGCTTGAAAATGAGCAAATCTGCCTCAAAGAGATTCAAGGGGAAATTAATGCGGCCTCAGGACTTATCGATAACACTGCTTTGTCCTCTTACAAATTTAATACTAAAAAATCGCAACGAATTGCTACAAGCTTGCTTACAGCCTTTACTAGTTGGGGGTTTTCTCTGCTGTTTTATCAGTGGCGTCGTCATGGGGGACAACGTTCGGGTCCACTACAGTCTCGAACACCTTCCTGTAGGTCAGCTTTGTGTTGTCCTTTGGAGGCAGCCATGTCGGGATGATTTTCGCGTGAACTCTCCAAAGCCCGTACTGATTGGAAAGGTGTTTTTCGAAAACCACATATTCCAGGACGTCTTTCGCCAGGATTTCGCTCCCGTGCATCAAACGACCGAACCGGTCGTAAATCGCCAAAGTCTGAAAAAATCCAAATATGAGAATCCGCAAATGGAGAAAATGTGCTCAGTTACTTGCTGAGTGTGGAATCTGACGGTAACTTGGGCGAAAACATTATCTGGCGTGATCACTTCTGTATTCCTGGCATGGACAATTCGGGGCAGCTCGATATCCTTCAGGTACTTCCAGCGCAACGTTTTGTTGTCAATGTTATGGACGACTTCAGGGTAGGCTCTCTCAGTGATGTAGTTGATCAGGGTTTCCTTGTCGTTAGCAGCCATGCATTCGTGCATTTTAATGTAGATATCGGTGGCACTTTTGCAGAACTCGGGCCCATCGAAGTCTTCGTCGTACTGGCGGATTTTACGCACCGCCAGCATGGTACGACTCTTCTTTTCCAGGAACACCAAGTTTTGCTTAGCCCCCTGAAACGGTTCCCTTCTTACATTGCCCTGCATATGGAATAGACGCGAAACGCACCTGAGCACTGATTGGGGAAACCTTGCCGTCCCCTTCCGGAGGAACATACGGCTCAAAAATGTCGCCAGAGGAGGAGATAAAGTGCTGGTGCTCCATCCAAGGCCTGGGCGGGACCAGGCCTTGCTCCTTCATCCGGGAACGCATTTCTTCTTCGGTTAAATCACTGGGTTTTTTACCCAGCTCGGGCAGCTTCACTGGGATCACTTTCAGTCGCCGCAACTGCTTCCATTTGGGGAGCCAATGCTTGGTTTTGCGATGCCGCACAAACTGGGCATTCAGCAATGGGGCTCTTACCACCCCGCTGATGTGCTCCTGAGAAGAGAAAATGCATATTTCCCTTGGCAGTTTAAACTGGGAAAACTTACATGCAGCAAGCGGGAACTGGCGTTTGCCAACGCAGTGCGAAGCGCCATTTCGGGACGCTTTTATGCAAATAAATCGAATAATTTTAAAAGGTTAACCTGAAAGTTTTTGACATAAACTTCAAATATTATGGCAAGATTGGCAAGTGACGTGCAACAACGTGATGCTTTGCAGTCACTGGGACCAACGTAAGAGCGTGAAAAGTGCCACATTTGACAGTTAATTTAGGGGTTTTCGACGTGGCCAGGTTGTCGTCATTGATTAGTTGCTTTGCCAAGTGTGAAATGGATACGAGGAATCTGGTTCATTTGTGTTTAGGAGAGGCGAAGTCCACCAATAAAATAGTGAATTTGAACAAGAAACACAAAAAGGTTAAATCCCGTGCTTGATATCGAGCGAAAACCAGCAAATTGTTAGAGTTCGGGCGAGTTTCCAATAGTTTCGGTCGTTCCAACCCCCCATTTTGGCTGACATTCTGACATTGGCACGCACCCACGTGAACTTTTAGGTTGGTTTTTGTGCCAATTTCGTATTGTGTTTATTCCAAATTCGAACCTTCTGGAGCGAAATGGAATCCTGGGGTAAGTTACTGGAAGCTTTCCCTGATAGCCCCCGTCCATACTTATCGCCCATATGGTTTCAGATGATGAAAATTTCGAGCCCCTTCCGGTCATCGCTGCAGCCCTCAAGACCAACAAATGGGTCGGCGAAGATGAGGAGGAGGATGTAAAGGTTTGTGTCCGTAGTTTGCAATCAGGTTCTGGTTGCGCCCCAGGCTACTGAAAGGACCCAGCTGGTTTCAAGGCGAAATCAACTCCTTAACAATTCAGAAGCAGTTTACCTTATTGATTTCACTTTCCAAAAGCTGCTTTTGCTGAACAACCTGAAAAGACACATGAAATTGGAAGTTTTTACAGTGAATTTTTCTCTTAATAGGAAAGCTGGGAGGACGATGACGAGGACGAGAAGCAGGAGGAGAAGAAAGTGGCTGAGCCAAAGAAGTCCAAGAAGAAGTCGCTGGCCGATAAGATAGCAGAGAAAGAGGTATAAAATTGTTTTGTTAATAAAAGCAAACAGGCAACTAATCACGAAATTGGGTTCCTCAGGCGAAAAAGAGGGAAGAGCTGGAGAAGCGTCTGGCCGAAGACGAAGACCTTTCCCCAGAAGAACGCCTGCGAATGCAAAAGGAGTCCGACTTAAAACTAGCTCTGGAAACCACGTTCGGCGGCTCGCCCCCGGAGGAAATCGACGGACTGAAACTGCCCTCGACCACTGGGGAATTTGAGCAGTTTACCGAGACTTTAACCAGACAGTTGACTCCTCTATCCAGGCATGGAAACGACTATGTGAACTTCACTGAAGGGCTCGCTAGGAATTTATGTGCAGCTAGTAAGTGGAGATTGTTCGCTGAACTGTTCGACTGATTTTCCTCAATGGTTCGTTGCTAATTTGTGGCTTTTACAGTGAGCTCTAACGACATTAAGAAAATAAAAAACACCCTAGACAACTTGTATTTGGAGAAGCAGAAGATAGAAAAGGGCGACAAGGCGAAGAAGAACAAGGGCAAAGGCAAAGCGCGCTTGAAGATCGAGGGTAGCAACGTGAGTAGAGAGAACTTGTTCAAGTTGCAATTTTGCTAATTTTTTTCTGCTTATCTAGCAATTGCTCGATGACTACGCGGCGAACACCTTCGATGAATTCGACGACTTCATGTAGCAGCAATATTTACTCTCCTTTGTTTATATTTCTATAAATATTTTGTTAACATTAGTCTAACGAGGCGCTTAAGTTGTACTTTTTGTTTATCTATTTTTAAGTAGGTACTTTCGTTGGAAGCTATTTTTATATAAAAAACATATTTTCTAACAGTGGATTAGTATGTCATTTTAGTGGCTTTTCTACTAATCGAAATGTGCTCTATTTCCCGATCTTCGTTAAGCCAACGGAATTGTACAGCAAACGGAACGGGATTGAGAAGCCCAGGCTACATATTCAGATATAATAGAACTGTTTTTCTATAACAATAAAGGCATGTATCAGTAATGCTGCTTTTTGACTTAACTGAAACTCCTTATATTCCATTCCAACCAATATAAATGCAACGAACTGTATATAATACTAGTTATTTTTAGCTTATCCTACGGGAATAAATAATATCACAAGATAAATGCATCCATCAGGTCAACTAGGGGACGTCCGCTCTAATGTGCTCCATGAAACCGTTCGGAAAAACGGGTGGGATTTCAAGTGCAAAACGCCATTGGATTTCGCACCCAGGCGCTCTTCGGGCTCAAAAATCAGCAGCTGCAACGTTCCAAAGTCAGCACATTTACTTAAGCCCCCCTAAAACCCTCTACCTGCTTCAATAGGGACTTTCCCTCAATTGAAACATACTTGGGGATGATTAAGTGGGTGTAACTGCTCAGCCCTCTCGCATGCACTCGGCTTAAGGGCTGCAAAACAGTGTTTAGGCACTAATCTGACAAAAATCTTCACTGGAAGTGTACCATTCCAACCAAGAGCTCGTAGAGAATCGCGCCGAAGCTCCACCAATCCACTGCCTCGGTCACTTCCTCAAAGCTGTAAACTTCCGGAGCCAAATCCAGATTAATCCCGCTGGAGTACAACTGGCAAAGCTCTTTAACATTGCACATGTAAGTGAGCACCAGATTGTCCGATTGGTCTATTAGTAAGTTGTCCATTTGCAGATCTCTAACGGATATAAGGAGTTTTTTGAGCAACCCTACAAACGCTCTAATCTACAGAAAGCACCTGCAAGTCACTCCAAGAGAATGGAGCTTGTTCAAAGCGAGCAGAAGCTGGCCTGCCCACTTGGCAATTCTCTCCTCGGTTAAGCTGGAAGCTTCGCTCACACCTCCGTCAATCTGGACGGAAACCCCTGTTTCCTCAAGCGGTTGATCCAGAATATTGCCAGGGGGCAATTGATCAATGATCTCGAAGTCTTCGGGATTGCTTTCCGCGCGTCTGTTGGACGCATACGCGCTCAGCAGCTCCGAGAAGCTCATTTCCGATTCATCGTCGGATTGATCCTGGATCTTCCTAAGAATCTGATCCTCCTGGTCGAGGGGCGACTTCTTTTCCAGAATATCCCGCAAGTTGGTGCCACTTGAACCCGTTGAGAGTTTCCGGAAATGTTCCGAACAGTTTCAACCGCTGCTTACCTGCAGTATTCCAGAATCAGGTAAATTGCGTTGTCGCTGCTGCAGTGGCTGATTAGCTTGACCATATAAGGCACGTTTTCCGGCAGTATCAAATCTCGACTGAATTGCACAGTTTTATGTATAACCTGCAAGACAATTCCCCTGAGAGGTTGGAGGATAAATTGCGGCAGCGCTCACCTTAATGAAGAAGAGCTGTTGCAGTTCGCAATGCAACGCCAACATCCCCGATGAGGAAACTATTTTAATGACTTTGTACTTGTAGAGGTTGTACAGTGGGCCCTTTAGCACAAGGGGCTTGGCCAATGGCTCGCCCTTCTAAACCACAATTTGCCAGTTTTCCTTAAGGACACTACCTATGTACTACCTGCAGGTTAAGTTCCTTCACTTCAGGCGCCAGGTGCATGTTGAAGATCTTCTCAGCCCTGATCAAGTACTTTTCAGTCCTGTACCGCACCATTCGCCTCCTGTCGTAGTTGGGATCATCTGAAACCGGTTTATCGTCCTCTATTTTCCCCATGGAGAATCCTCACCTTTGCCTCCACTAATCAAAATATCCACTGCAATCTTGTAAGCGGAAAAGGCTTCTTCATACTGCCGTTCATTCTCCAGCTCTATCGCCATGTTGATGTGCATGCAGGCATTCATCAGGTACTGGGTAAATTCGTCCGATTGCCCGCTGGTGTCTAGAAGCATCAAGCAACCATCCATGTTGGAAACACTGACGGTTTCAGATGTTTTTGAAGACTGCGAATCGATTGAGGTCATGGAGTTCAGTTTCTTCAAGTTGCTGGCGCCGCTCTTTGCAATGGAATCGGACATTTGATCAATTGCCTGCAAAAAATCCTGTTATTTAATGGAAATCCATTGCTGCTCCCTAAGTAAAACCTGTGAGGTTGAGCCCAGATTACTGCTGGTAAATGAGTCTGTGTCGCTGATGTTCTGGTCTTCATCCGACTCGAAGGATTCCTCAGGTAGATGCAAATTGGCCCTTATTGCACTAATGTTGCTGTTAAGTAAATCCGATGGAGCGTGACTTGTCTACAACAAGTTTTAGTCGTTTCAATTACCCAACAAGGTGATTAAGCGGCACATACCTCGAAAAACTTGACAAAAACAGTCGAAGTAAACAGCACCGAGTGGGTGCCAATGTACTCTAAAAACCCCAAAATGCCCCTTTTTCTTTGGTTAACAGTCTCTTCGTCAAACCTGCAATTGGCCCACATTAATGGAGGAAACCCTTGCCAAACCACTGCACCTTTTAAACAGCCCCGACTTTGGCAAGGCTGGAAACTCATCCTGGATGTGCAGTTTCTTGTGCAACACCCTCATTTCCTTATGCAGACTTTTCAAGTCGTTGTATCGCTTCCAGACTATCAGCTTTGTTACCGCATCCGGACAGGACTCTGGATAAAACTAAACAACAAAATCGATATACGAAATACGCCTCAAATGACCACATTTCCACGAACTTACAAAGGAAATGATCCTGTAAATAGTGAAACCATCCTTGTGCCTGCTAACTTCCGGAATATCGAACATGCGCACCCAAGACATCCAGGGCGTTTTGTGCGGGTTCAAACTCATCGCTCGCTGGCAAAAGTGGGCCCAATGGACTGAATATTTACATTTTACCACAGGTAAATAAATAATCAACTACAATTAACCCCACTTTTGGAGATTTGTTTGTGAAGTGTCAAGTATTAGGGATTTTCGTCTCGTGTTGTGGCAGCATTGAACTGAATCAAACTGACGGTTTTTCTCGATAATTAATATAAATATTTTGACTCTTTGATGGTAGTTTAAATTAGTAATACAGTAAAGTTTCAGCTGCTTATTCTTCTGCCAGTAAATGCCCACATTAAAGTTTTCAAGAATGGCAACATTGACACCAGTCAATCCAACTAGCTACATAACCAAGAATTTTCCTGGCTTTCTAAATTATCCAGCTAGCCGGTTTGTGTGCACATACATAACAATGTCTCAACCTGAGAAAATCCTGCCTGTTACCGTAACTAGCGAATTAACATTGACCCCATTGGGCGGGGCTTTGCTGGTGAACGAAATCTTAAAGGGGCTGATCTACCAAAAGTGCCAAATTCCATACTCTTACACTTACATGAAGCAGCTGGTGGAAAAGCGACGAAAAAAGCTGTGCCAGCAAGAAAATGAGCCGCAAAAAGTGAATTTGACCGTCGAGAAGCATTATCGAGTAGTGTCTGCTGCCTACGATTACATGGAGATGGTCATGAAGGGCATTTCCGTGCAGTTTAGTGACCCTTCCAGTCATATTAAGGAAGTGGTGATCATGTTTGGGACAAGCCCTAATTTCCCTACGGAAGTGTTTACTATCGAAATGCCCCTGGTTATGACGGGCCACATTGAATGCAATCACATCAGGCAGCTGAACAACCATCTGCACAAGATTATGAGGTAAGTGAGAGCGACTCGATCTCGATGTGTGCAAGCGTAGAAAATGGGGATTTTCAGGGACATATTCCTATCGCAAGTGTGGATCGATTCGATAGATGGGGCGATGACGTGCACTAATACATTCATCTTTTTGAAAAAACTTGCCCATATGGAAACCGCGTTTACCAACGAAGCTTTTGAGGCATGTGCCCCTATTCGAACTGACCCCAGCAGCAAACATGTGCGGTTTATTATCAATCACACACCCAGAGATAAGACGAACTGTTGCGCAGATTTGGAGATATTTGAGGACAACGGTAGCAGTAAAACGCACCAAGCTGCACAAGCAACACCTGAGGAAACGCAGGTGGTTTGGTGCAGATCAAAAGGATTTTTTCAAGGATTTCGAGACTGCTTTATTAAAAAGGTATCAGCAAGTGAATCGTGGTAATTGCAGTTTTCGCAAAACTAGCTACTTTCTATTAAGTTTAACGATTAATTAATGTGCCAACTGTGCTGTTGAAGCGAGTGAATGTGTAGAAAATGTTTTATTCTGGTCTTTTTTGCCTCAAACTCTTTGCAAGATTTATTCGCAAAGTTCAAGTGGAATGTATTTTATTCAATGTTTGTAATTTTTATGGAAAAATGCTGCTTCTTATAGAGCGAATAATGATTGCAACATAGAACAAACAGATTTATTCACTTAACTTTATAAATATACAAAATTCAGCTCAAAGGGTGGTTTGGCAAACGTTGTCTAACCCATCGAGCCATTAACGAATAAATTAATAGTTTATACCAGATAAAGCTGCAGTTTTCACGAGATTCGCTGGCCGCAAGTCGGCCATAAAGCGTTGACAAGAAAAGCTAGGGTGAGACAACCAAAGCCCCATTCTAGTGCAATTCCAAATTGATCGATTCCCCTGCGGGAGATTCTCTGAAGAGATTCGAAGACAGATCGATGGCCACATAAAGACCGCACAGCAATAACGGGCCTATGATGGCTCCCTCCACTCCCATGCAGAAAATGCCGCCAGCAATCGCCAAGCCGGTCAAATAGGGATGACCGCTGAAAAACCATCCCGTTACTCCTGCTTTTTGTGTCTTGTTCCACCCACCCTTTGATTTCCTTGTAGATTTCCGCATCTACAATGGAAGTGGGCAGGAACTGAAACCCGGCGAAAATCAGGGCAGCAATCCATCTATCCTGGGACAGCCATAGATCCAGAATCCCTGGGACGCAGGCCCAATATGTGCCCAAGAATGGGACTGCGCCCAAAATCGTAGCGAACGCTACACAGAGAACGGCAATGTAACCTGGTAAATTTTTTATTACTGCGCCTACCGGAGGACAAGTAGACGATCTGGACGTTGAACAGATTGTGGATGAACCAGGTCCACATCCCGTAGAACGCGGCCATTTTAAAGGAGGCCGAAAAGACGCTGTTTATGGCCGCTTCCAAGGCGTGCCCGAATCGCCTGCCGCTTGGAGAGAATTGCGTCATTAATTCCACCGGCTTGTAGTTATCGGCGCTTGAACTTAGCAGGTAAAAGAGCGTGGTCAAGAAGACAATCTAAGCAAGGGGGAATTCAATCACTTCGTTACTGAGAGACTCCAATTGCTACTGTACCATGTTCAGAATGAAGTTCAACACCGCTGTTCCACCGCCTAGAACGATGGAAACGCAGGTGCTGAACGAGCCGATCACCAGGCCGATGTTGCTGATAACGATGCTCCAAACCGACTCCAAAAGCGACATCAACGTGCCCACGTTCTGCTTGGCGAAATCCACGATCCCATTAACGTTGAATATTTCTAGGGAGATAACGCACTAACGATTAGCTGACAGTTGGCGTGAATTGAAAAACCACCTGGAGATTTCCTGATGTCCTTAACGAAAGCGTCCCATGAGCTCCGCACTGCCTCCTCGGTGACTTTGGGGCCGTTGCCATCGTGGGCAGTCATCCACGACTGATAGATGCGATCCCACAACTCCAAAACCTGCCTTTCCAGCTTCTCCGACTGCACGGCATCCGCATCAGTCATAACGCTTTTCACCTGGAAGCTTCACAGTTAAACAAGCTGGATGGAACGCAACTACGCCCTACATACAGCCTTGGAAATGCCTTCGCGTCCATACTGATAGGCATTATCCAGGATGGAGTCCATGGTTTCATCCCAAGCGGGCGGCAACAGCTGGCGCAACTCCGGGTTCTGGACCACTGTCTGATTGATCGCATTGCTAGTCATTTGCGCCAGCATTATTCCTTCGGCGTATATCTGCAAAGGACAGTCCAAGCAAACGCGCGCAAGCAAAACGAACTATCACTGACCTGCAGGGCTGTGAAAATGGAGGCGCAGATGAGGAAGACGATCAGTCCAGAAATCACCACGCAACTGGCCACTGTATCAATGCTGCCCTTGATGCTGCTTTTCACAGTTGCGTTGATCTTGTGCATGAACTTATACAAGCCCCTAATCGGGACTGGTACCAGAGCGTCGTGCCTTTCCATGCAGAAGTGACTGGCCCGGTCGAATAAACTGAAGCACTTATCGAACAGATAGCTCCAGAGGCCCAGATAGGTGCCAGTGTGCTTGATCAGATAGTAGAGAATGGGCAGAGGCAGCAGCGGCAGCAGGATGATGTTTTTCCAGAACAGCATCACTAAGCAGCACCACATGACCGAGTAGAGGTAGAAAGTGCTCTCGTAGCCAGTGCTTTTGAAGTTCTGGTTGGAATTGCGTAGATTTATCTTCCGCGGAATACTCAGCAGGTTTAAGGTGCGGAACCGCCCAGGATTAAACTGCGGTTGGGATAGTGAGCGCTGAATTTTTGGTCTGGGTTTTTTCGCGTCGGGCGCCTGAACCAGATGGATGCCATGGTTGGTGATTAAAACCCCAGTTCGCGGTTCGGGACTCTCTACTTTGGCGCTTTGTTTTGATTCGTTGAAAAGCTCCAAAGCCCACGGATCGTCACTCTTCGTCGTCACCTCTTTCGCCTCATTGTGTTTCGGAGTGGAATTATCCCCACTATCCAGGACTTTGCTAAATGAGACAATGGGCGAACTGAATTCCTTGCCATTTGCTTCCTAAAACCCAAAAAACCTTGTTTTAAATTTCAAAGCCCCTGTTTTGCTGATTACTCACGTCCTCTTCCAGCTCATGTTCGTCGCTTATATCCAGCTCAATCGGCTTGTCGTGGAACGCTCGTGACAACAGTTCAGTGAAGGAGATGTTGTGCCCTAAAACGCCCAATTTTAGCCCCTGGATGCTGGTCCAACCTGAAAAATACCTGCAGCGTTCATGCTGCAATAGGCTTCGTAAACCTCCGAAATGAAGCCCCCAAAGAAGACGATCTGCAGGCCAATGAAAATAGGCATCTGGAAGCTGGGGAAAATGCTGGAAAGGCCGCAAGAACCCCACAGCCAGACCGCAGTGGAGGCGTAGTGAAAGTGAACGTTGTTCTCGGGGCTCCAAAACAGAACCACCAGAGGAAGGTAGCAGAGGATGATGACTGAAACCTTAAAAAAAGCTGCATAAATCATCATATCGACAACCAGCCAAAACTTACCACTGGAAGAGTGGAATTGCTGATGACAAAGTTCAGCGCCCGGTAGATCCAAACGGTGCCGCTCCACAACATGGAAATGATCACTCCAGGAGTGAAATTGTAGAGCAAAACCGCAACGGGAATCAGCACCGCAATAGCCAAAATCAACTTGATTCTGTCCCATAAGAACTGCCCTATACATTCGGAGACTTCATTGAAAATATTGATGGGCAACAGCACAAGTCCTAAAATAGTGGGAGTGTTTGTGTCCTCGAGCATTTGAAACCAGCCCTGGAATCGGTCTCTCAACGATCTTTTCAACGGGTGCAGCGCTGATCCCACCAACAAGGCCCACATTAGGGGCTTGATGAACGGATAGAGAATCAGGTAGAGTCCCAAAACAGCCGCACAGCACAGGAATATTAACAGCAGGGCTACGGCATTGTAAACGGCTTGTTTCACTGGTTTATCGTGCCCGTGGGACAGGTTCCCGATTGCCCCAAAAATCGACTCCAATGGCGATCGATGATCCATTTTTCGATGCCAATGACTGCTCGGGTTGTTATTGAGGACGGATGTTATTTATAAACATTAGTCATTGATTGAAATCACTTTGGAATACGAAAAATCAAAATATTATAATGAGGTAAACAAATGCTTGACAAGGGTAAACAGTGTATTGTCAATAGTGCACAGATCACAAAGGTACTCTGTGATCTGTGCAATAGTGCAATTTACATAAATATTTTATTATTAGGATTTTTTTATTTAATTTGGCTATTGGTTGATTTGCATTTGATAACTCATATAATTGCATCTAAAAGCAATTTAGGGGCTTAATTTGGGCTTGGCGCAATTTTTCAGCTGGCGCATGCTAAGCTATCTCTTTCCTATACATTAGAAGACAAGGCAAGCTCGATCTGCTCCACTAGAGAATTTCAATTCAATTCCCATTTTAAATACGAGACTAAAGCCCTAAAATACTGGAAAAATTCTCAGAATAGCAGATGCCCAGAACAGCTATTAAATTCTTGTAAAAATATCTCGTCCATTCTTGATAAAATGGCGAATGCCAAGACGCCATTCAAGGTGCTTATTTAAATAATTATTTCACTACTAATGAAAATGAACAACAAAGCCACTTGTTTATTGGGTATTTATGTACGTGCGTCGTGGCATGAGCAGAAACAATTGTTCTTATTTCCATCTACAGAGATTATCCAGCTGTAGTCGAGTGTTTTATTAAGTACATTATCTAAAATGGTATTCCGTCAGTAAAACATGCGCATTTTTACCAGAGCGCGCTATTTGTTGCTATAAATAATCAGTTCATATAATGAGATCCTTCCACAGTGTTCCGCGATAGTGAATTTCGCTTGTTTTTCCCGTCGTCTTTTGTTTGTTTTTTAAATAGTACGCAATTTTATTAAATAGTGTCGCAAACACGCTTTCAATAATATTTTTCACCTTCGAATTGCGACTTGTTTTTCTAGTTTTCCCATAAAATCCTACCACTATCGATTCGAAGCCAGTTTAACTGGCCAACTATTGCTCGAGCGACTCTATTACGCGATTAATTATTTAGGAACAAGTGAATTGTGCATTATGGAATATCTGTGCCGGTCTAGAGCGTGTTTATCAGCGGCTGGAAGAAGGTATGCAAGTGATTTCCCGCTTTTGTTTGCATGTCCTTAAGTACTTGTCCTGCTTCATCCTGTGCAGGGCTGAGAGAGATAAACACATTTTTGGAATTTATTGATGCAAAAGTTTACTTTATTTCCACACAAACAAAACATGTTGTCTAGCAGTGTTTCAATTGGATGGTTCCGGAACTTTCACTGTTGAAACACCCTGTATATGCTCCAGTTAAATCACTGACGTCTTATATATTGGCTGTCTCTCCCGCTCTCATTAAGAATTCAAAATCAGCATACTGTGGCCTTGTTTGTTGACGGTTGTCAAAAAATCAGCTGAGTTTTGTTTAGGTTGATCATCCGATTCCCCTTCTCGCTTAAAAAATCACCAGATCCAAATTTCCTGTTGCGTATTTTTATCATTTTGCAAATAGCTGCCAACTTTGTCGTCATTTGCGTGCAAAAAATCCAAATTATTAACGGGACGATGCGGTAGTGAAGTGTCAATGGGTGTGTTTTAGGTGCTTCGCAGATTCCTCCAGTCCGGACAGCCTTAAAATGCATGCCAAAACGGTGATTTTGACCCAGTGGAAGCTGATTAACCACCTGAAATCCTACCTGGCTAAACTCACCAGCGACACTGGTTTTGAGAACGCCTTGAACAGGGAATTCGCCCACTTTTTGCAAAAGGTTGACCCGAAAACATACGGCAAGTTGGGGGTCTCCGCTGCCTCCTTGGAGCCCAAGCAAGTGCAGGAGATCGGCCCAAATGAGCCGGAGAGGAGTGGCCTTTCATTTCCCAGTGTTTTCGGTAAAATGTTCAAGGATAACGAGCCGAAACAAGTGCCTGAACCGAAGTGGAAAACTGCCAAGCCATCCATATCGAAGGTAAGACACAGTCATAGAATATTTTTAATTCACGGAACTTGGATTTTTTACTTCGTACAGCTCGTATACAGGGTGGCTGGTAAGTGTCTGATATTCAAATTTCACTTTCTGGGTCAAAACTACTCGAATTTCCTCACTCACGTTGTTTCGACTGAATCGACTTTTCATTTCTTTATCCAATGATGCCAAAACGAATTCTGTGGCTCGAATGGTTCTTGAGAAACTTCGAAAAAAGCAGCGTTATGTTCAAGTGGATTTTGCAACTCAAAAAAAACCACGCAAATCTAAAACTTCTTGAATTCAAGCCTTTTTTGAGAAAACTGCAACATTTCCTTATCGATGGTTCACTTTCTAAAAAGGCCATTTAGTTCTCTTTGGAATGATGCAAAAAACGAGCGTTCTTGCTCATTTTGCTTCCGAGAAACATGCAAAACGGGACGGAAAACATGAAATTTTGCAATAATCTTACGCCACCCTTGCCCAAAACGACGATAATTTTTCCAATTCATAGACAGCAGAAGACAAGGGTTCAGGTCAGCTCAATCACCCTGTATATCACAAGCAGTATTATGTACTTCCCTTCCAATTTTCCACACGTTTTAAGTTAAAAAAATGGAGGAAACAAAATTTGTTTCAGGCATTTTCAAAATCTCCAAAAATTTCTGAAAGAAAGGTAACTTCAAGTTTCGAAAACCAGTTTAGTTCCGAAACATTTTTAGTCTCACAGACATTTTCAAATGAGAAATTGTTAAATTAACAAACCAAAACACTATTTGGCGCAAAACTACCACAATTTTCGACATGTTTTAAGTTAAAAAAATGGAAGAAACAAAATTTGTCTCAGGCATTTTCGAAATCTCCAAAAATTTCTGAAAGAAAGGTAACTTCAAGTTTCGAAAACCAGTTTAGTTACGAAACATTTTTAGTCTCACAGACATTTGCAAGATGCAAGAAGAAAAATTGTCACAAATGCATTTTCGAAATGCCCAAAATTTTCGGAGAAAAAGTAATTTCAAACGATTTTTCCAAAAAAATATTGCTTTTCACTTTCAAATGCACTTTTCGCCTTCCAAAAATCCCTCGCGGCAACGCAGCTACCGACGTTTCAACGAAACATTTTTAGAGTTTAGTGAAAACTTTTTGATGAAAATAAAGCAAAGGGTTTTTTTTAAATAGATAGATTTTGACTCGCACTGGAATACCCTCATTCTAATGGTGCTACTGGAGGTTTTTCCTGGTAAACTGTGAAATAAAGCCATCTAGAAGCCAAAGCGCAGTCAAATCACTTAAATGTGCGAGTTGGAGTTTTTAAATGCCGCTTCCATTTATGTTTTAAACACAGTTACAAACATCATTAAATAATTCACGCTTCAACARCATCTAATCAGTCATTGAAGCCTTAACAAAGCGATCGGTACTTAGTTAATCTATGTTCCCTTCACCAGCTCTGCTACAATGGTAATTTGTTGGCATCTTGCAGGAATCGGTTCTGTCCAGAACCACTCACGTCCTAACGGCTCTGGCCCTGGCCGACACAGAAGCGATCAAGCTGGAGAGGATGGAGGACTTAATCAGCCACCTGAAACAGTACCCTGAAGCCAAACATGGAGCTGTGAAGGTAAGAAACCGTCCACCACTCGTCCACCTCCAAGTATTCACCTTTCCCTTGCAGGAAGGGGCCGTGCGGTTGCTTTTGCGAATCAAGCGAAAGCACAAAGGCCTGGAAGCCCAAGGGGTGCTGAACGAAGCCTTCGCCCTGCTGGGACATGCAGGGCCAGTGGCAGGAAACGGGATCAGGATCCTGTCCATTGATGGCGGCGGAACCAGAGGAGTGCTGGTGATCGAAATGCTGAGGAAACTGGAAGAGTTGAGCGGCAAACCCGTCTATGAGATGTTTGACTTCATTTGCGGCGTCAGCACTGGCGCGATCCTGGGCTCGTTGATCGGTAGGAACCGCCAGATTTCAGAACGCAGTCGCCTTTACGAACTCCTCAATCATTGCAGGCCTAAAACAGCATTCCCTGGACGAAGCAGACGATATTTACAAGCGACTTAGTTCGCAGATTTTCACGCAAACCCCCTTTAAAGGAACGAGCAACTTGGTCCTATCCCAGTCCTACTACGACACGGAACTATGGGAGAAAATGCTGAGCGAACAGTGGGACAAGACGCTGATTGAAACCAACCGCAACCCAAAGTGTCCCAAGGTAACTCCCAAAGAAAACAGGACGCCTAATCAGGCTAAGCGAACGCGTTTTTTCAGTATTGTGCCGTGTCTGCAGTGGTAAACCATTCGCGAATCTCCGCCTATTTGTTCAGAAACTACTCGTTGCCTTGGAGGGTGCAAAGTCAGTACATTGGCGGAACCGATCATCAGGTGTGGGAGGCTGTTCGAGCGTCGTCGGCTGCGCCCACATATTTCGAAGAGTTCAAGATAGGAAACATGATTCACCAGGTGGGCTGGTTGGTTCCACTTCCACCAGCTGAACGGTTCTAATGGGGGAAACACTTTTTCAGGATGGCGGCATTTTGGTCAACAATCCCACGGCCATTGCCGTGCACGAAGCCAAATTGCTGTGGCCTTCGACGCCTATACAGTGCGTTGTTTCCTTCGGAACGGGTCGAACTGTGCCCAATCCAATGGAAACTGTTGCGCCCACCTCAAGCAGTAGCACGTCGTGGAAGCACAAGTTTCTCGCAATATTGGACAGCGCCACTGACACCGAAGGTAGGCAATGTGCTCACGATGCTAATTTAGATCGGCAAAAGGCAAAAGCCCCTACTGTATAGGTGCTGGAAGTTTCAGTGCAATTGTCAGAGACAAGGGATAACTATTTTATTTCTTAGATTCTATTTAAGATATTTTATTTTTAAGATATTATGTTTTATTTCTTGGATTATTTCTTGTCTCTGCAATTGTCATTGCCAGAAGGTTGATCGGAGAAGATGCGCGTTTGAAGTCGTTGTGGCAAGCCTCTCTTTGACAATTAATTTCCACCAAGTGCAAATAGATGTAGATAGAAAAAACTGGTTTAGTTAGAAAGTTGATTTCTGTCACATTTTCAAGGTAAACGTTTATTAAACCACTGGCAAAAGTTTCGATTTGTGTGTATCATCAGGGAATTTTTGGCGATTTTTTTTTAATTTCACTTTGCTTTGGAACAGTTTCTGCAAGCTGGGTTTTCAACATAAATTTCGACGAAACTGTTCGAGCTAGAGAATTGCTTTCTGTCCCATTTTGAAGATAAAAGTTCATTAAACTGCTGCCAAAAGTTTCGATTTGTGGGTATCATCGGCGAATTTTTGGCGATTTTTTTAAATTTGACTGTGCTTTGGAACAGTTTCTGCAAGCTCTTTTTCAAAATAAATTTTGACGAAACTGTTCGAGCTAGAGAATTGCTTTCTGTCCCATTTTGAAGATGAAAGTTCATTAAACTGCTCCCAAAAGTTTCGATTTGTGGGTATCATCAGGGAATTTTTGGCGATTTTTTTAAATTTGACTGCTTTGGAACAGTTTCTGCAAGCTGGTTTTTCAAAATAAATTCCGACGAAACTGTTCGAGCTGGAGAATTGCTTTCTGTCACATTTTGAAGATAAAAGTTCAATAAACTGTTCCCAAAAGTTTCGATTTGTGGGTATCATCAGGGAATTTTTTGCGATTTTTTAAATTTGACTTTGCTTTGGAACAGTTTCTGCAAGCTGGTTTTTCAAAATAAATTCCGACGAAACTGTTCGAGCTGGAGAATTGCTTTCTGTCACATTTTGAAGATAAAAGTTCAATAAACTGTTCCCAAAAGTTTCGATTTGTGGGTATCATCAAGGAATTTTTGGCGATTTTTTTTAAATTTCACTTCGCTTTGGAACAGTTTCTGCAAGCTGGTTTTTCAAAATAAATTCCGACGAAACTGTTCGAGCTAGAGAATTCCTTTCTGTCCCATTTTGAAGATAAAAGTTCTTTAAACTGCTCCCAAGTTTCGATTTGTGTGTATCATCAGGGAATTTTTGGCGATTTTTTTAAATTTGACTTTGCTTTGAAACAGTTTCTGCAAGCTGGTTTTTCAAAATAAATTCCGACGAAACCGTTCGAGCTAGAGAATTGCTTTCTGTCCCATTTTGAAGATAAAAGTTCTTTAAACTGCTCCCAAAAGTTTCGATTTGGGTGTATCATCAGGGAATTTTTGGCGGTTTTTTTTAAATTTCACTTCGCTTTGGAACACTTTCTGCAAGCTGGTTTTTCAAAATAAATTCCGACGAAACTGTTCGAGCTAGAGAATTGCTTTCTGTCACATTTTGAAGATAAAAGTTCACTAAACTGCTCCCAAAAGTTTKGATTTGTGTGTATCATCAGGGAATTTTTTGCGATTTTTTAAATTTGACTTTGCTTTGGAACAGTTTCTGCAAGCTGGTTTTTCAAAATAAATTCCGACGAAACTGTTCGAGCTAGAGAATTGCTCTCTGTCACATTTTGAAGATAAAAGTTCATTAAACTGCTCAAAAAGTTTCGATTTGTGGGTATCATCAGGGAATTTTTGACGATTTTTTTACGTTTGACTTTGCTTTGGAACAACTTCTGCAAGCTGGTTTTTCAAAATAAATTCCGACGAAACTGTTCGAGCTAGAGAATTCCTTTCTGTCACATTTTGAAGATAAAAGTTCACTAAACTGCTCCCAAAAGTTTCGATTTGTGGGTATCATCAGGGAATTTTTGGCGATTTTTTTACATTTGACTGCCTTGGAACAGTTTCTGCACTCTTGTTTCAGAGAATACATACAAAACTCTACGCGTTAGATATTTCTTTTCTCTCACATTTTGAAGATAAAACTCCATTAAATTAGTGCTACAGGTTTCGATTTGTGGGCATCATCAGGAATTTTAGATGTTTTAATAGTTAATGCAAGTTTTTTGGCAAGTAATTTCTCCAAACCGCAATCAGATGTTTGTCAAAATCAAAAAGTTTGTTTTACAAAACCAGAAGGCTCCATCTTCAGGAACAACTTGCATAAATGTTTTTTTTTCATATTAGGTGTCCATGCAATGTTATCCGATTTACTACCAGAAGGAACCTACTACCGATTCAATCCGTACTTGACCGAGATGTTCTCAATGAGTGAAATCGAGCCGATGAAATTCGAACAGTTGGAACGAGACGCCATCATGTACTTGCGACGAAATGAAGACAAGTTTCATGATGCAGCGAAGAAATTGAGCCAAAGCAAGAGCCTGAAGAAGAAGACCACTGACTGGTTGAACATGCAATGGCAAATCTATGCGTAGAACGCGGCTGCTTGGAAAAGAACCTGTGATTAAAGTCAATCTATTTATTTTTTTTAATTAATTTTAGAGGTTTAAAAAGGTTTTTCACTGTTCTCCCGTTTTTACTTTTCGGGCTGCATTGATAGTTTTCAGCCATCTTTTTGAACGAACCGCGGGTGAAGAGTAATTATTTACAAACGTTTACTGTATCCTTAGAGTATCAACTGTTTGGGTATATTAACGACCAGATTAAAAAGTAATTCAACTGTTATTTTTTGTGCTTATTTACTGTTATCTTTCTACTTAGTTTCGTTTATTTCAATAATATAAACTGTTTCTGTTAGTAGTTTTTTTATTGGGTAACAACCCGATTTTGTTTAATCAAATAAGAAACTTCCCAACATTTTGAAACGATTTATTGAAATTTCAAACAAACATAGTAAATGATATAAAATCCTTAATCAATCAATCAGGTGCAGGAAAGCATCCAACGTCTAAACATTCGAAATGCAGCGTTTCACAACAGTGAACCCACCATACTGAGTGAACGTCTTTTTGAAAGACTGAAGGATGGTTTCCTGCTGAAGATCCGCAAAATCGAGAGTATTCAGGTATAAAAAATGGAAAATTATATGCAAAGAGCGCCGAAGTGTCCCAAACTAAAAGAGGGCAAATTCCGATTCCGATGCGCCCTTACACTTGAGATTTATCGCTAAAGTTGAGCCCCTAATTACACAAAATAACCTATGTAATATGATAGGAAAGAGTGCATTGCTTAGTTGGTAAGGTAATATACTTCATTGCGATACTATATACCTAGGAATCACAAGTCACCACAAACTTAATAAAATTCCCGGACAGAAACCTGAAAGAACACATGCAAACAACCGAACAAATTGCGCCAAAACTGCCGGAAAACCCACTACACAATCAATCCAAAAAGAATTACTGTACGAACGCACGTGCTTGTTAAAAATAACAGACAGACTAAAACCAAATGAAAAAAGAACCCGCTATGAACCCACACGTAACCCAATAAGTGTAGTATTATCATAGTTTAGTTTATACAATCTTAATGATAGTTTAGTTTTTAAAAATTTAGTTGTAAATACATTTGGGCAGAAAGATCAATGTGGTCGATGACCTTTTTCTTAGGAAATAATATGATGCTAGATTTAAAAACAATATTCTTTTTGGCTGGAAAAGCGCGACATTTTAACTTTCGTGCAAACGAAATTGCAATTTCGTAATTCCATAAAGAATATTGCTAATAAATCTTATCTATAAGGCGGTACAAATTGCTAGAAAGGCGCCTAACATACAAAATCTCGGTAGTTGAATTGTCCTAGCAAAATATGACTTTTTTCCAAAAATAGTTGAACTTTCCAGCTATTGCAGTCGATGGTGCCTGATATACAAAACGTAATCGTATTGTCTTTCCCTCTGTATATTACTTACATATGGAGAAATTGGTGCAAACCACTAACATCCTTATCATAAACTATATAAATGGATAAACAGCGCAGTAGTACACCGATTTAGTAAAAATATTCCCTTACTTAATTAATACTTTTAGGTTTATACAAGATTACTTACGTGGTACCTGGTAGCTATTACGAATGGCCGTTTTCCTTCTTCTCAGTGCCGTTGATCAGACTTCTGAAGATCTCTGACGGAGAAGGCAACAAGCTGGATTTCTGCGTATCTTCCGACACACTTTTTCGCGAATTTCTCCGGCTTCTGGGCTTTCGCCTGGCGATCGCATCACATGTGCCTTTTGGGATGAACGTGGTCCACTCGTTCGATTTCGGGTCCAGATACTCAATCGTATTTAAAAAGGTTTTGCCTGCAAACAGAGCAGAATTAAACTTAAAAGTTTCCAGGGAAAAAACGCGAAAAAAGTACCGGAGAAACCGCCAACTGCATATAATCGGCCACCAACAACAGTGACTTCAACATTGGCTCGTGCGGTGGTCATGCTCGGTCCAACCGACCAGGTTTGGGCTTCTTCGTCGAACGTTTCGACCGTATTCAATGAGTGACTGCCATCAGAGCCCCCCACCACGTACAGTTTGTCGTTGAAAACGGCGACGCCGCAACCTCGACGGGCTGTATTGATGGGTTTCGACACTTTCCACGTGTCATCTTCATGGTTGTAGATTTCCACTGATGCCAGACAGTTCCAGGAGTCGCAGCCTCCGATTGCGTACACCAAATTTTTGAACACTGTCACGCCAGCTTGATACCGACCTGGAAAAAAATCATAAGTAGAATTTGTTTTCAAGCATTGCAGATAAACCGCATTTTTCGATCGGGCTCAAGGATATTACCGGTATTAAGGGGGGCGATTGTGCTCCATTTTTGCGTGTCCGGATTGAAAATGTCGCACTGTTTCAACCCAACTTGTCCATTCCAGCCTCCCACACAGTAAATCAGACCATTCAGCGCAGTCACGCCCATGTTGCTCCTGGCAATGGGCATGGCAGGAACTTTGGCCCATTTTCCAATGTTCTCCATCTCGAGCATTTCCACCGAATCGAGCTCAGTGCTGCCGTTACTTCCGCCAATTGCGTATACCTTCTTATTCACAACGACGATCTTGAATCGTCCTCGACTTTCCCGCATCTGCGGCAACGCTTTCCAGACATTTGCCTCAGGGATGTATTGTTCGACTGAACGCAGGCATTCGACCCGATCGTATCCACCTATAGTAAATAAAAAAATGTCTATCCGTAAAAAACCATCTGGATGACGCCTTACCGCAAACTATGAAAGTGTTGTTAAAAGCTGCACAACCATGGGCGCATCTTTGCGAAGACATATTGGTAAGGGCGCAATAAAGATCGGGCTTCTCCTCGCTCTGACATCGGCTGGCATCCGGAGTGAGAGTCGGCGAGGGCGTTTGTGGGGGATTCAGTCTGGAAGCCGAAATTTAGCCTGGAAGCTGCACAATTTTCCAATCTATTACCTTAGTTGAATGGAAAGAGTGGCGAGTTTTCCAGCCAGCGTGACCAGAGCCAGAAAGCTGTGCTCGCCAACGCTTTCGGCCGCAATGAGATTCCAATCGGGCTCGATTTCGTTTTCCAGTTCTTCGCCTATTTCCCGATTGTAGATCAAAATTCTTGGCTTGGACGGTTGGCCAAGCGGCTTGATTTTGATCTTGGATGTGTTCTTCAGCGACATCTTCTTATAATCCTGAACGATTTCGGTGTCGCTCACATCGCCTGAAAGTACCACCATATAAACGAGACTGTTTGAACATTTTTTACAAAATAATTCGGGCATTTTATCAAAACGTAATTGGAATAGCATTCTCTATTTTGAGTAAAAATGTCAACTCTCCAACTCTCGCAGTTTGGATGGAAGAATTTAAAAAAAAAATGCTTTCAAATTCCCAAGTCGCGAAATGCTAGCGATTAAAAAAAAACTATTCAAAATCTAGGTTAACAGTCGTTAAAGGCACAACTGGCAGGACTTAAAGACAGACTTAGTGCCTGTTTTGAGCAAAAATTACAACTCTCTAAACCTCTGGCTTTGGAAAGAACGAATTTTTATTCAAGAGCTTGTAGATTTGCCAGTCGAAACCCGTCAGTAAATTCGCAATTTTCTGAAAAATTATCCGCGTTCTCCACAAAAGCGCAACTTACAGGCCTTAAAGACACACTTATTCTCTACTTTGAGCAAAAATTTCCACTCTCTAAGCCTATGAGTTTGGCTAGAATCATTTTTTTGAAGCGCGTGTAGATTTTCAAGTCAAAAACCTCCAAAAACTTCACAATTTCTGAAAAAATTTCCGTGTTCTCCATAAAAGCGAAACTTACAGGACTTAAAGACACACTTATTCCCWGCTTTAAGCAAAAATTGCCACTCTCTAAGCCTACGAGTTTGGATAGAATAATTTTTTTTAAGCGCGTGTAGATTTCCAAGTCAAAAACCGCCAAAACTTCACAATTTCTGAAAAATTATCGGCGTTCTCCATAAAAGCGCAACTTACAGGACTTAAAGACACACTTATTCCCAGCTTTAATCAAAAATTGCCACTCTCTAAGCCTATGAGTKTGGATAGAATCATCTTTTTTAAAGCGCGTGTAGATTTCCAAGTCAAAAACCGCCAAAAATTCACTATTTCTGAAAAATTATCCGCGTTCTCCATAAAAGCGCAACTTACAGGCCTTAAAGACACACTTATTCCCTACTTTGAGCAAAAATTGCCACTCCCTAAGCCTATGCGTTTGGATAGAATCTGTTTTTCAAAGCGCGTGTAGATTTCCAAGTAAAAAACCGCCAAAAACTTCACAATTTCTGAAAAATTATCCCCGTTCTCCAAAAAAACGCAACTTACAGGACTTAAAGACACACTTATTCCCTGCTTTAAGCAAAAATTGCCACTCTCTAAGCCTATGAGTTTGGATAGAATCATTTTTTTAAAGCGTGTGTAGATTTCCAAGTCAAAAACCGCCAAAACTTCACAATTTCTGAAAAATTATCCGCGTTCTCCATAAAAGCGCAACTTACAGGACTTAAAGACACACTTATTCCCTACTTTGAGCAAAAATTGCCACTCTCTAAGCCTTTGCGTTTGGATAGAATCTTTTTTTTTAAGCGTTTGTAGATTTCCAAGTCAAAAACCGCCAAAAACTTTACAATTTCTGAAAAATTATCCGCGATCTCCATAAAAGCGCAACTTACAGACCTTAAAGACACACTTATTCCCTACTTTGAGCAAAAATTTCAGCTCTCTAAGCCTCCATAGCACTAGGTAAATAGGTAAGGACGACCCAGTGAAACACCTACCAGATGGTAAACTCATGCAGTCCTGCAGCGAGTTATCAATTGCTAAATACAGCATGAAGGTTTTCTCAGAAAGAGTGTCTTTGTTGAGCGATTGTTCGTTGATCTGTCTTCTGATCCATTCCAGCACCAGTCGACACAACGCGCTCTGATTCACAAACGACATTTCCTCCTTTGACTGGTTCAGCACCTCGATTTTAGCACAGTACAACGTCAGCAGATTGTTGCTTTTCACGATTTCTGCAAACTGAACAGACCATAGGAAAATTTGTACGAAAAAAAGAAAAAAACGTACGTTTTGGGTTATAAAGGTGTCGATTTGCTGGATGAAGTCCTTGTTCCTGGCAATTCCTGGCAAGGACCGGACTTCAATGCAGTTATCCACAGTGATATGCTTAATCAGGTGATTGCCGCAAATTTTCACCACTCGTTCCATCTTTAGGCGCTTTGCGGCTAAAAAGACCGCTTTCACCTGCCGAAATCGCTCACATTAAAACATTTGATCCATTTATAAAAAAACAGACTCCTCACCTGAGTGTATTTAACTATCAGCTTGGCTGTGTAGGCATAATCGGTGAGAATTTCCAGGGCATTTTGATCAAAACCCCCATTCAGCTTGTAAGTGATCACATTCTCCAGCCTCTTCTGGTTCTGGTCTTGATCATTGGTGAACAGTTCAAAGAGGAAGGAAGAGGCGCTAGCCAATACCGCTCGATGGGCATGAATCTCCGTGTTTCCCACCTAAGAGAACACAATGGATCTGTTTAAACCACTATCTGGACTGGCGCTTAATAATCACTTCAACAGTGAGCTGCCGAGTACACTAACTACTTAAATAATGGAAACTAAACCCCAAAAAAAGTAAAATTGCTTGAGTAATCCCACAAAATAAAAAAATAAAAAAGGTCGTTTACCGTCACCTAACTTGGCGCGTTATTCTGTAAACAGATAAAATTAAAACGTTCTCACATTGAAGAACGACATTAGGAAGCCATATTTACCAGCAAAGACAATCGTCTGTAAATCAGTTATTCATTTGGCTGATTTGGAGGACGGGTAGAGAGACACTTCAATTTTCGACCAGTTTATAATTCACCGGGTTTTTGACGTTTATTACATGGGGCGGTTGGGCGCTAAACACACTGACCACCAATTGAAGTGACGCGAGAAGGTGTGAGCAAAGCAGACCAAAGGTGAGTGTTTACAATTACGATTTACTGCGAGACAGTGCAGTTTGTAATACACCGGTTGAGTAAATGAAGGTTTTTTGTAGAATTCTATAAAACATCGCTGAAAAATCGGGGATAATTTGAAGACAAAATTGATATTATTGACCTGCTGATGGATCAAGTTTGAAAAATAAAACAACCAACGCCGCTTTGTGACATTTGCGAACTAAACTGAATTGGGTTTGACAGCTTTTCAATTTGTGAGCACTTTATATTTCTCAGCCATTTGACGTTTGTTCAATGCAAAGCATGAGTAGTTTGCGTAATGGAAAAACTGATCGCAAATTGAAGTGAATCATTCATGATGAATGTGAATTAGATTTATAAATTTTGCGTTCTCTAAAGCAGCCAGAGCCAGTATTACTCAAAGATCTACAACTAGTTAGTTAAAGTACTTAAAAACTACTCACTACTGGTTATAATTTATTTCAATAATGATGAATTTGAGATTGCTGCCCAGTAGTGTAACTGACTGTATACAATAACAAATTTACGGTTTAACTTTCAACGGTCACTTGATTTTTCCGGTTTATTTTCAATTATTTGATTGGCCAGCACGCAACAAAACACGCAATCTGTGTTGATCAGCAACAGCGCCTCCTTGATTTGTTTTTAAATTGATTAATGGAGAAGAAATAGATGATATGCATCCACCATTCCTTTGCTCCATCGGGTGGAAACTGGAAAAACCAGGATTTTTTGGCCGTTTAGAACCGACGGTGACCGTTGAAAACTTTTCGATCGAATTTGTTTGATTGTACAGCCAGGCACATACGTGAAGGATGACGTCACAGAAGTGACGATTTTTTCGCATCATGTTCAGCGACTTCAACATGGAGGAGTGATGGACTTCGTCGAGAAACTCCAGCTGAAGAATCGGCTCCTCTTCGTGCTGCTCCAATTCCGTAGGCTCCATTGCGGTGCCTTCGCCGTTCAGATGCTCCGTCTCGATCGTCACACCTAAAAATAACTCAAACCAGTTGAAGAAATGGAAGATGCTGAAAGGAAACTGGTGGAAACAGCATCGAAAAACGACGCTGCCGTGTTGATTTATTGAAATATTTGAACAATAATAAATCAATTAAATGCAGATCTAGACGTTTCAGAAAACCTCATTTTGATGAAGTTTTAATTGTGCTTCCAAACACAGCTTAACTTTACTACTTCACATTTTATCAGTAGATTATCCACTTGGGAATAATCCCCGATAGTCTCATTAATTTGACATAGAAATCCGCCTATAACAAAAAAATCAAGCGCGCCTTGTTGCAAACTTTTACGGATTACAAACAAATTTGATGCATTCACACACTAACCGTCCATCTTTGCGCAAATGTCAGCAGCAGGTAGGCAACCAACAACATGTGTTGCCACACCATGTCAGTGTTATGTCAAATGTCAAATAAAAACCGGTACTTTATGAATTTTTTTGCAAGGAGTCTGGAAAAACTGTGCTAATTTTCGAATAAAAGTAATAAGGAAATGAAACGGAACAAAAAACGGCCGCCGCTAATAAATTGCCTTAATACGCTTTGATGGATATGAAATTGAAATTACAAAAGCCGACAGCCAGCAAAAACACTGTTCATAATCGCAATACAATGGCATCCTCAAGGTAGCCATGTAATGGAAATGGAGAGTTTACGGCCCACCATGCGAACGTTCGAAGCGAATTAATCGATACTTTTCCATATCGTGAAGTCGAATTTGGCTCAAATTTCGCCGAAATATACCGGGCGCGACCAAAAAATATTTCAGAATAATTGATCAAATTTGTTTCGTTTGCTAACCGAGTGATGTTCACGTTTTGCTGCGTCGTTTAGGCGCGCCTTCCATATGCATTAATTGTGTGCTGACTGGGCGACTAGATTTTGCGAAAAACGTGTGATGGGGGCGAGAAACTCGACAAGTTTCAAAAATTGGGGAAACTAATAATCCAGCGAGAACAAATTCGTCTGCCTAATTAGAAAATGCGGGTTTGCGTGCGTTGTATATTTATTTACCTGGCGAATTTCGGAAGATAACGATTTTCCAATTAACTGGACAATCGCACAAAAACTGCAATTTACCCGAACAAGGTCGCGGCACTGACCATGGCGACAGTGCAGCACGTGATGGGCTTCACTTAATCGCATTAGTAGCGAAAAATGATCGATGCAGCCGACTAATCGGATTGCCATTGAATTTCCTGGTTTTGGTCTGTCGATTAGTGGCCGATTTTTTTGGCTGAAGGGTTTTTGCGCTCGCGACATTAATATGCAAAAATTCCAAGTTTGCGTCAAAAAATCGTATCGATGGGCAAAAACCGAGCACGCCCCTGGATAGAGCCAGTCATTGTCTCGGAAAAAGGTGGTATTCGCTTTTCCTTGAAAGCAAATAATAACGGAGTTACAGGCGATTAAGGCATTTTATTTTTTCCTTTGCAAACCACGCTTTTTACCGAAAAAGGGCAGCGAGTAGATATTTTTCAAACCCCCACAGTTTTTGAAAAAATTTCAAAAATAATTTTGAAAAAATCTAAATTTGAATCACCCTGTATATCCAAAACGGAAAATGGTTGAGTAAATCAGAGCACGCCACTGGATATAACCGGCTATTCTCTATGGAAAAACGTGGATTCACTTTTCCTTAAAAGTGATCAATAAGGGAGCTACCGGCAATTATTTGATTAGAGGCTCGCTTGAACAAGACATTTTTTTCTTGGCAAATCAAGGCAAAGCTGCCGGAAAAACTATTTTTGTAAACTGTCCGGGCTAGCAGATACTTTTTCGCATATCGAGAATATCGCATAAGAAGTTTAGAAAAATTAGGGCATTTATTTATTAAAGGTCAAATTGAATTTTGGGAATTCGCTCGCAAAAACTAAGGTTTTGTCTAAAGAAATAGTAGAGAATTTCTTAAATTGATTGGGCTTCCCTCAAAAGTGAACAGTAATTGAGGTATTTACCCAGAAATTGGGAAAAAATTGGAAACTTTAAAATAGCAGTAGTTTAATGGAAACTTTGAGGACAACAGGCCATCTCGAGACGAAATGGCCAGAACCAGAAGATGCAAACTTTCGGCTCTGAATTATTAATAGATGAGGAAATCCACAAAAAACGACCAGAATGTTCCAAATACAAACCATCGAATACTTGAATATCGATCACTCTCTAATTGTCACCTTGGAAATCCACGAAGCGTTCGGTGGAATTTCAAATCTGCTGCTACTAATCGATGCTAAATGTAAATTTGTCTAACACATACACTGTTTCAATATTTGCACGTTGATTTGATGGAGATTTGCGGCCTTCTACCAGCAATCAAGCAATTTGTTTCATTTCATCATTATCAAAAACAGAATTCGTTTATACTGCGAACCAGCCAATCTCTTCTAATTGCACAAAGGGGTCCTCCTATCAACGATTAACATGAACCTTAAGGTTAAACAAATAACCGACGACATCAGTGTCGTTCGTGAGAATTTCCATATCGCGTTCATTTGATTTCATTGTTTGCATCAATTAATGCTTGGCTTTAGAGGGTTTTATCAATGTGCGAAGATTCTGGTCGGCAATTCTGCATTTGGCTCGATTCGAAGAGAAAAATCTTGAATCTTATCTAGCTAGACATGGAAACTGATTAGTAAATCTCGAGTGTGAGAATTCTAATCAGACCAACGACGTAAAAAATGATTCTGATTAAATAACAACTAACTAATTGGTTTGCATTATCTAATGCCGACCTCAAAAAATCGGTTCTGGTTACCATCCGAAGCGCCGCCTATTTTAGGCCCCTATCGAACTCCCAAAGTGCGATAACACTGACAAAACAAATGCATTTTAAATTATAATCGAAAATTAAATAAGAGTGATAGCGCTGATAAAAGATGGTAAACTAACGTTGTCTAGACCAGTTTTTTTCGATGAGGAAAACAGCGGGTCAACCCCAACGCAGCTACGGCACTTTCACCGATGCAAATGCCTCTGAAGGACTAAAAAAGGCAACTTTGCCTGGATTCTAGCTGGAAACACCTTGATTCTGTTTGATCCAGATGCATCAACACGATGAATGTTGGAACGCAGGCAAATAGTTGGCAAAGGCTCGCGATGGCTGGGCACATGGTTTTCGTCAGGTCTGTTTGTAAACACCCCATAGATTGTTAATAACAACTAAAAATACTGAGATGTTTGCGCATTTTGACTAATCGATGTGTTGCGGCAGTAATTTTAGTTTAAGGGACTATTTTCGGTTGTCCTGCTGATAACTGGGCCATTTTTCTCCACTTGGCAAAAGCATTTCACTGTTTTCGAGATGAAACGGGAAATTGCGTTGGCAGGTGCCAGGGATTTGAACTTTCCATTCAGAACGGTTTGGAGTATTTCGAGCTTGAATAGTTAAATCATGTAAATGGCAAAGTAACAACGCCACTCTCTTTTAACTCTCCTAAATTTCGACTTCAAAACGTAAATAATCTCCTGAGTTCTACTTCAACTCTCCAATTCCCACTGAAAACTGCTAAAACTTCCAGTTGATAAAACAACAAAGAAGCTTCTCAACTCTCTTAAATTTGAAAGATAAACCCCCGATACCAGAAACTTTGAAAAACAGCAAATCATTCTTGCAATAAAGAAATTTTGAAGGTAGAACCGATTGGGCGGCAAGCTGATTCAACCTTCAACTCCCTACGGAAGATGATTCTGTTCTCTCTTAAATTCTTACTGCAAATCCAATTAATCAATGAAAAAATGCCATTTTTGATGAAATAGCAAAGAAAAATCTACCCGGAAAATCGAAAAACATGTGCAATTTTTCGAAAACAATTTTCATCTCTCATAAATTCGGTTGAGAAAGCGATTAAACGGAGAGAATAATGATAAATTTACGTGAACTCAGTTTAATTTCTGTTGCTTTAAGGCACCGTCAACTCCCTACGGCAATAAATCGCCTGTTCTCTCTTAAATCCCGACTGCAAAATCAATTAAGACGTGAAAAAATTGCGAGTTTAATGTTGCGTTGCCGAAAATAGCAAATATAATTCTTCACTGTTGTTCGACTCTCTTAAATTTCGCATGAAAAATCGATCAAAAACTGATGAAACCATTTGCAAATTATGTTACATCAACAGCATACAGTAAAAAACCTTTTTCTCACATTTTTCATCTCTCATAAATTCGGCTGAGAAAGTCAATAAACGGAGAGAATAATGATAAATTTACTTGAACTCGGTTTAATTTCTACTGATTTGAGACACCGTCAATTCCTTACGCCAATAAATCGCCTGTTCTCTCTTAAATTCTGACAACAAACTCGATTAAGAAGTAAAAAAATTGCGACTTTGATGCTGCTTTGCTGAAATTAGCAACGAAAATTCTTCACTGTTGTTCAACTCTCTTAAATTTGGAATGAAAAATCCGAAACACTGGAAAACATGTGCAATTTTTCCAAAACAATTTTCATTTGTGTTGCAGTTCAGTGAAAACATTTTTCATCTCTCATAAATTCGGCTGAGAAAGCGATTAAACGGCGAAAATCTTGTTAAATTTACTTCAACTTAGTTTAATTTATGTTGCTTTGAGACATCGTTAATTCCCTTCGGTAATAAATCGCCTGTTCTCTCTTAAATTCTGACTACAAACTCGATTAAGAAGTGAAAAAATTGCGACTTTGATGTTGCTTTGCGGAAAATAGCAAAGAAAATTATTCACTGTTGTTCAACTCTCTTAAAATTCGCATGAAAAATCGATCAAAAACTGATGAAACTATTCGCAAATTACGTTACATCAACTGCATACAGTAGAAAACCTTTCTCTCTTAAATGATGACTACAAAACCGTTTAAAACCGACAAAATAATGCGAGTTTTGATGTTGCATTGGAAAAAACCGCATTGAAAAGCCTTTGCTCTTGATCGACTCTCTTAAATTTTGACTTACAAATACACTTTACAGTACAAAACCGTTTCATTCCTCATAAATTACAATCGAGGAAGCGGTTGAACAACATGTTATCTCGACGCAAATTTAGTATAATTTAAGGTAGAAAACAATGAATAAATTTAAACTTTTTTAAATTTCGAATGAAAAACTGAGCAGAAACTGGAAAAATTGTCATTCGACAAACAGGAATAATTTTACAGTGGAAAAAATTTATTCTCCCGTAAATTCCGACTGAAAAATAGATGAAAACCTAAGAAAGAATCAAGTTCGTTCTTGCGTCGCGATGGCAAGGAAAAAACTCCTCTTTCAACTCTCTTAATTTTTTTCAAAATTTCCTGATAACGGCTTAGCAAACTTTTCAACTCTCATAAATTCCGACTGCAAAAAAACAATTTCTCTATTGCGCTGCGAAGATAAATGAAAATTATTCTGCTCTCTCTTAACTCTCCAAAGTTTTTTAAACTGAAAAACCCTGTTAACTTCACTGGAAATCGCTCTAATTTTTATTAGTTTGGGACCTTAAAGATCAGCTACAAGGAGACAAATTTTCAACTCTCAAATTCCGGATGGAAAAAGCCACTCCATGAACTAAATTTAGTCGAAATATGGTTCACTTTCCCTATCGCGCAGAAAGTGAAGAAACTCAGGTGCTCTTTTTCAACTCTCTTAAATTGCACATTAACATTAAGAGTGAAAATGTCTACTATTCGACCAGTATCATTGATGTTGCTTGGCTGCAGGCGCAAAAACCCTATAGAGGAAAGATCTCTCTTTCAACTCTCTTAAATTCGTACGAAAAAATCGCTTCAAACCTGAAAAAATGCCCGACTTCGGACTTGGGAATTATTAACAGGAGTGAAGAAATGATTGCCTCTCAGTCAACTCTCTTAAATTACGGGACATTCTTCAGTGAAGCAGTGGCGAAGACTTGGTTTTGCAAACTCATCTGCATACTAGTCGCATTATAGAATCGCACATTGTTTGAATCAATTTAAGTTTGACTGGTAGTTAGTGACCGAACGGAAATTCCTGGGACTTTAGCCAAGGAGCGCTTAAAGAAACTTGATGTGCAACATTTTTAGCCATCTACTTTCTAATGTGGTTTGGAAGCATAGAAAAAGCGACCAGACAAATCATTTGTAGCCGAAGACCATTGACCTGCCATTAACTGGAATATGGCGTGGCATTGAGAACGACTGGGCGACACTAATTAACATATTTTAAGAAAAATGTATTTGATGGCGGCGGCCTGCAAGTGATTTCAACCCGTTTAATCGGCCCACATTCTAATGAAGTTTTCGACTTTCAAAATCATTGATAAAACGCGAAAGAACAAGACACACTGCCACTTACCGTTCATTGTGACTCACAGGAAAACCTGAAAATCAAGAGCACAATTTGATCAATAACTCATTTAAATGGCAATTGGTTTGTGCAAACATTCGCTCCCCAAGCTATAGGAATTAAAGCGGTTTTTTGGAGATAATTTGGAAAGGCGATGGATCTTCGCTGCCCTGCTAAGACAAGAAGTCGTATCTGCAATTATTCACTTTACCTCTCAGACAAGGTCTGGAATTCGTATCATCTTTAGAATGCGGTTTTTCAATGATATTTATATGTCCTATTTTGTATTGATAATTACCAAGTCATATTGTCGTATCTGATTAAAAATATTTCAATTACGACATTTTGGCTTGGTATCTGTACTAAGTCGTAATGATCAAAAAGTCATATTGATAATAATTATTAAGTCTTTTTGCCGTATGAGGTATATGCAAGTGTGGTTAGAGATATTTTGTTGTTTATGGTATTTTAATATTCTGTTGATATAGCGAACAAGGCAAGTATCTTATATTTAACGATTTCACATTCAAATGTTAGTTTTACTGGCCCTAAACAAGGAATTAGCTCAAAAAATGTCCACATATAGAGCTAATAATTTACATGGCAGACTAAACCAAAATTCTATTGATAATTCACACGATCCAGATTTTACTGTGGAGTGAATTGCCAAATCAATCACGAAAATTCACAAAACAAGGAAAAGTAGGAAAACGGAAAAGTAACAGCAAATCATTACAGGTAAGAAAGAAACTGAAAAGAGAGGAAAAAATTGCACAGCATGACGTGCAAGATGGCATGTCATAATTTACAAATTGATTAATATCTCAAAACTTCGTTTTTCAAGATACGACTTCCTGTCTTAGCAGGGCAGTTCGGTTGTTCCGTAAATTCCGACTTCGAAGTCGATCTTAAATGGACAAATGCCAATTTTTAAGCTTGGAAGACAGCAATAAAAATCTGCTCTTTGGTGAGTGTTAGGAGCATTTGGATTGCGGCGTTTTGCCCTGCAGGGCTGCGCCCCAAAAAACAGCGAAATTTAAACACATTGCAGCCACAACCGATGGCTACTTGCCTTAAAACAACGAAAATTTCTTGATTCTAAACGGGGCTGCGCCAGGTTAAAACCACGTGAATCTCTTAAACCGTTAACGCTACCAGACTGGGCCTAAGGATGGTTTCTAGCCCCCATCAGAGGGATGTTTTGGGCCCAAAAATTGGGGCTTGGGAAAAATTGCCATAACCCGAAATCGATAGCTCCAATCAAAGCTAGCTGTTTAAGGGTAGTTTCCTATCTAAAGCAAGACTTCTGATGTTGACATGCGGTCAAGCACTAAACCATCCAAATAAGCGAAATAAAGCTCTGTGATCAAGCAAAGCAAAAGCGGCACTTGTTGGCAGGAAAAACAGCGTGCAGCGTGCGAAAAGCGTGTCTCAGACATCAACAATTCGATTTTTCCGGCTGAAATCAGAAAAGCTAGTTTCCACTTACCTATAAGTTGAAAACCGACGCAAAACCCAGTCCACTTTGGTCACTAAATCCCACACTTGAACAGCACGTGCTTTCAAACAACATAGATAAAGACACGTACGGAAATAAATAGGCAAATACGAATTTACAATTTCTTAGATGAAGTACTTCGTTTTGATTCGTCTCTGCTTCGGAAGCTAATTGTCCGCCGCACATGCGCATTGCCACATTGAGGTTATCTAGACGCCAAACTCGATCCACTTCCTGCCGAAAGCAGTGAACTACTTTTCCAGTTGGGCGGACTTCGCAGGTTTAGCCACAGAGGGCGCCAGCCCGACCAGTAGATGCACCCTCCGACCGTTAAGTGTGGGCTACAATTGTAGTCTGTGGGACAATAATCATTAATTAAAAAATCTTCTCGGCTTGAACTTGAACCTCCGCTTACCGGCCAATGTAGACTGCTATCGCAGGGTTTATCAAAAATTCTTTGGCTATTTTTGTGGACTCTCAACGCCTCAAGGCCGCAATATCCTGTGATAGACGACGAAAAAACGTAATACCCAAATAGTGTAGGTGTTACACCAAAAAAAAGTTATTAATTACCGAGCTAATTGTTCCATCCCGCATGGACATCATCAATAATATTTGTTATTGAGTTTTTTGCGTCATTAGCGCACATTTTTTGCGTAAACCTCCCATTAAGCCAAACACTCGAACACATCTTTAATTGTTTATTGGCTTTTGAAACGGATCTGCGAGTCTGGTTAATTGTGTTCGTCGATAGAGTCTGTTTGGGAATACACCGAATTTTAAATAATAATTTGCATTTAAACTTTATAGGAAAAGCTGCAGCAGAGAATTTCAAACTAATCGCCCTTTGAAAACGCAAGCCAAGGGTCGCAAAAGTTTCATTCACTGCAGCGTGTTTTTCTCAGTTAGTGCGATTTTCTCGTTTATAACCGTGTTAATTAAAAATGCCCTCTTTTCATAAAGTTCCAAACACAATACGCACATTATGCGAATTGAGGCTTCGCATTGGATGCAGAATATTGCGACCCAATTAGTCGAAGATAAAAGCGCTAATAACAAAACAATTCGCATAATTGTTTGTTGTTGTAAAAGACGTAAAACCGGGTTTTTTTCTTGAGAAAAAGTAGATCAGGAGACGATGAAAAATTATCATAAATATATGTGTAAAAAATCAGTAAAATATGAACCTCAGCATTATGTAAACTCTTTAAGTCTAGGATGGAAACTGATCAAAACCGTGTTAAATTTCATCAAAATATTCACATTTGTGCGACTTGTGTGACGAAACTCATCAAACCATCTATGGTAGATATATTTCGCGTTTGTAGTTCAACTCTCTTAAATCGCGACTGAGAAATCGATTAGAAATTGAAAAAATACCGAAATTTGTTGATGCGATTGAAAAAAATTTCAAGGAAATTTCCATTTCTGTTTCACCTCTTTTATATTGAGGAAGGCGAAGTCAATCAGACACAAAATATATTGTTGTGGTGCGAACACTTTTGAATTTCGAATAGAAGATATCATACAAATGCACTCGCTTCTTTAAGAAAAGAATTGCTGAAATTTTTTCAAGCCTTAGAAGACACTTAACTATACTCACAGGGAAAGTTTGATCAAATTCTCATAACTTTCTGATTTCCAGAGCTGCAAAAACTGTGATTTTACCAGCGAGGTAAAAGTTTATTTCAAAATCGAAAATTCCACACAAAAACGGTATTCTTTAAAAAATCGTAACCTCGAAACTACTCAAAGCAGCAACTTGAAATTTTCACCAGCTTTAGAAGACACTTGGCTCTACCTATACGGAAAGTTTCATTAAAATCCCCCACCTTGTTGATTTTTTCCAACGTAGTAAAAGTGATCTAAAATTGGAAGCTTTAACCCAAATGCGCTCGCTTCCTTAAAAAATCGCAACTGGCAAACTGTTGCCCCCAGGCGTTTTAAATTTTGCTGGTTTTTATATAACACTTGAGTCTACTTCTACGGAGCGTTTCATTAAAATCCTCTCAAAATTTAAATTTTTTGAGAATAGTAAAATTTGAACTCAAAACAAACGTTTCCACACAAATGCGCTCGCTTCTTAAAAACATCGTATCTTTGAAACTGCCCCAAGCAGCAACTTGAAATTTGCTCAAGCATTAGAAGACACTTTAGTCTACGTACGGGGAAAGTTTTATCAAAATGCCCCAACTTTTAGATTTTTGCCAACGTAGTAAAAAGTGATTTAAAATTGGAAGCTTTAACCCAAATGCGCTCGCTTCTTTGAAAACTCGCAACTGGCAAACTATTTCACCTACAAGTTTTAGATTCTCCTAGTTTGTAGATGACAGTTGACCCTACTTTTTGGGAGAGTTTTATTAAAATTGCCTGAAAATTTTCATTTTTTCAGCATAGCAAAATTTTAACTCAAAATGGAAGTTTCCACACAAGTGCGCTCACTTCTGAAAAACATCATACTTTTGAAACTCCATCAAGCAGCAACTTGAAATTTTCTCAAGCACTAGAAGACACTTTGGTCTACATATGGGGAAAGTTTTATCAAAATGCTCCAACTTTTCGATTTTTTCCGGCGTAGTAAAAATTGATCTTAAAATGGAAGCTTCCAACCAAAGGCGGCCGCTTCTTTAAAAAATTTGTAACTTTCAAACTACCCCAACCCCCCCGTTGAAATTTGCTCAACCTTTCGAAAACACTTGACTCTACGCACAGTAAAAGCTTGATCAAAATCCCTTAACTTTCTGATTTTTGTCTGTCTAGTAAAAGTTGATGTAAGACTGGAAGCTTTCAGCTAAATGCGCTGGTTTCGTGAAAAAATCGCAACTTCCAAGCTATTTGAAGCTCGAGTTTTATATTTTCCCAGCTCGTAGAAGACATTTGACTCTACGTCTGAGGAGAGTTTCATTAAAATCGAATAAAAACTCTAATTTTACCAGCGTCGTAAAATTTCATTTCAAAATGAAAAGTCCCACACAAATGCGCTGGCTTCTTTAAAAAATCTGAACCTGCAATTTTCGCTAGCCTTAGACGACACTTGGCTCTACTTATACCGAAAGTTTCACCAAAATCCCCCAACTGATGTATTTTTGCCAGCATAGAGAAAAGTGATCTAAAATTGGAAACTTCAACCCAAATGCGCCCGCTTCTTTAAAAACTCGCAACTGGCAAACTATTTCACCTACGAGTTTTAAATTCTCCTAGTTTGTAGATGACAGTTGACCCCACTTCTGGGGAGAGTTTCATTAAAATTGCCTCAAAATTTTTATTTTTCCAGCATAGTAAAATTTGAACTCAAAATAGAAGTTTCCACACAAATGCGCTCACTTCTGGAAAACATCATACTTTTGAAACTGCCTCAAGAAGCAACTTGAAATTTTCTCAAGCATTAGAAGACACTTTACTCTACGCACGGGGAAAGTTTTATCAAAATGCCCTAACTTTTAGATTTTTTCCAGCTTAGTAAAAATTGATCTTAAAATGGAAGCTTCCAACCAAATGCGGTCTTTAAAAAATTTGTAACTTTCAAACTACCCCAACCACCCAGTTGAAATTTGCTCAATCTTTCGAAGACACTTTACTACTTATGAAAAATAGCCAAAGTGTTAAAGTTGATGATGAGTTGCAAAAAACAATGCACAAACTGCTGCTTCTCTTCCAACTCTCCTAAATTCCTAGAGAGAAATTGACTAGAAACTGTAAAGCGCTTAAAACAGGAATTACTTTTAGACACATTCGTTTGCCTAATAGAAAAATGATAAGCTGCAAGTTCCTATAGAGGGTTCAAGTGTTTCATTTCTTAAGCAGATACAGGCTGTGTTTTATGGAAATGAAGCTAAAATTTACTTGCCTCCAGTTATAGAGATACACAGTAAAATTGAAGATATTTGGGGAGCGTAACGCTGATCAGTGGCTGTAAATTTGAAAAACTACTTGAGCTCACAGTCGCGCAAAAAATATATACAGGGTGTTTTTAAAACTTTCTTGAAGCTGATTAATCGGGAAATGTTCTGCACAACTTGAATAAATCTTGACTAAAACGGATTAGAACTGGCGGTTGCGAAGGCCAAACAAGTGCAATCCTTTGCCGAATCGTCAATCAATCAATCAATCGCAGCGACTTTGATTCATCGATCAGAAGCAGCCAATCAACCTAAAAAAGACCAGGCGATTCGCCATGCAATAATCGCACTCGATATAGTGAAACGTCCCCCTTCTTCGAACAAAGCGACCGTAAAAAATAATAATTACCTACAAAGTGCACTTATTTCGAATTTGTGCTGGTAAGGGAATAAGAAAGATATCGAATCTCCAAGTAGTCCGATTACCAGCAGAATGTTGGATTGGCTTCGTCGCTTTACATTGGGAACATCACTTGGATGTGATTAGTTGGATGTGACGGATCGTGGTGCTCGAATTTTTCGAAACAGTATCCGAAAATCGTGTTTAGTGAAGCCTTTTTGAAAAGGTAAGTCATGAGGTTTTTTATTTTTTTTTAATTCGGGGAAGGGATTAAGAAAAAATTGGTAATTTTTTGAAATTTCTGAGCATCTGCTCTTCACAAGAAAATATTTGATCAGTTTGTTCTTTCGGAAGAAAATAAAAAATTATTTTAATTTTAGTTTTGCTGCTTGTTTTGTTGCCTCAAGCACCTCAAGAAAATTGGAACACTTTTAGATTTTGGGTAATTTTTTCAAAGTTCGCACACACTGGCGCTTATTGCAAACTTTACCCATTAAATTAGGAAAAATTAGGAAAAACATTTCGAAACCTACAGCTTCTGCTAGTGCAAACGTATTATTTATAAATCACCACAATGAAGGTAACATTTCAAGGAAGATTTTCAAAATAACCGCCATCGAAAACCGGAACTTTTCGCCATTCAAATTGGAAAAAAACATCATTTTCGAGTGACATCAGCGCATTAGCATACTGATTAAACAATCATAACCAGTATCGGATTCCAATTATTCAAACTCCAATTATTATTGTTGTTGTTGTTGTTGTTGTTCTTAAGGAATTTCGATTTTGTCGTAAAGTCGAAATTAAACATGATGCCATTCGCCACCGTTATTCACATATGCAATCATTGATTAGTGATTTGAATATTAATCAATTCGGCCGTGAATTCGACGAGTTTCATGTTGACCAGGCCTTGTGGTGTGAATTTAAACTGGATTTCAAACAGACAAACTTCATGGTTTATCATCTGGGTAAATATCGTTGTTTTATCATGTTTCGATATTGATTTATTGGCTTTTCTCGCACATCACTTCGAACGCTCGCCATTTAGATGCCGTCTGCTTTATATCCGAATTGATATCGAACTGAATTTATTAATTTTTTTCGCATAAATCATGACCCTTGAACCACTAAACAATCTGGAAGCACTTCAGTTGGTTGGGATTATTTTGGTTTTCCATTGATTGGCGACAATTTTGGGTGTTTGGCAACGTCGCACTTGCCCTATTTTTTTAAATAATGACGTGGTGTCGTTTCATCCAAACTTTTTGATAGTTTCTGGTCAGGGGATTCTTGATGGAAAGCCTACAAAACATTGGAGGCCTTGACTATTCGTGTTGAAAAATTCCTCAGTACTGGAAAAATTGGGAAGAAATTCGGATTTTTGCTGTTTATACATAAACGTTTGCTCTATTGACGAGAATGCACAAGCAGTTTTTTAAGAAAAGCCGCTATTTTCAATTAAATTTTCTTCAAGGGCCTCCGAAACATTACAGGCCTGTGCCACTAGGTATCCGGAAATTCAGAAGCATTAGTAGAAAATGCCAGTAGAGTAAAACTTTTAAGGATAATGGCCCTGTTTTTTTTACTGGAAACAGTAGTTTTTGAATAGCTCCTAGCTAGTCCGCTATATTTAACCGTTTTCGAGAAATTCACCCATCAATCTTTGCAGGCCCCTTAAAGGGCGAAGCCCCTGGTAAATCTCGAATATTTTTTGAGCAAAATAACACCCTCAAAGTGATTTACCTCGGCAACCAAAAAGCTCAATTAGTCGTTCGTTTGCTTTCAAAATATGTGGGTTTTAGATTTTTGGGGCCCCTTAAGGGGCAAAGCCCTGCAATTTTTGCTCTTCAGACGGTTGCCCTCATAAGGCTTTATAGAAATAGTTCTTAGCACTAATCAGCTATTTTTAGCCGTTTTCGAGTAATTCAGCATTCAATCTTGTAATCATCAAATTAAAAAAATCTTTGCAGGGCCCTTAAAGGGCGAAGCCCCTGGTGAATTTCCATTTTTTTCCGCGTTCTTAGCACGAATCAGCTGTTTTTAACCGTTTTCGTGTAACTTACCATCCAGGCCCCTTAAAGAGAGAATCTCCTAGGAAATTTCATAACTTTCTTGAGCAAAATAAACCCTTTAAATTGCTTTATCTCAACACCAAAGGGCTAAATTAGTTCGTGGTTATTTGCACAGTGTATTTTCCAATATACAGGATCTAATCTAAAATTCATCCAATTATTTCGCTCGCCTTTAACTGTGTATTGACACTGTGCACATTCCACACTAACACAATGGCCCAATAAATAATAATACTGCAAGTACTGCCTAAAGGGATCGCTTGTAAACGAGAACGAGGCTACAACTCTGATTGTTTGTTCGTCTAACTGTAAATCAATCAATAAAATAAGCAAGTTTCAGGATTTTTTCGCAAAAAATTGCACATGCTTAATGGATTCGGAAATAGCCATGTTTATTCCAGCATTGTAACTAGAATGTATGAATTTATTTTGTTTATACATTGTGTTTTTGCATGTTGGAATGTGAAGAAATTTAATGGTTTTTTTATACTGGCGGCTCCTTCAGTAACTGAATGAATCACTTAGATAATGAGCAGAATTTTCAAATGTGACATCATTCTAATGTGTCTAATTAAATAAATAAATGATAACATTATGATAATGGACTGGAATGATGTGATTCTTTTTTGAGCAGAATTTAGGATTTATTAAGGTTGTGATTCACATGAGATGTTTAGAAACACGCATTTTTGTCTCACTATCCAGTTTGTTTAGAAGAAGGAAGTATTTCTACTGTTCAGTCTTTTAGTGGTAATTTAACAAACTTGCTAAACAAACTAACAAAAAGCCGTGAATGATCGTTCACCAAAAGCCAACCATTTCAGAGTTACAACGTTTTGAACTTCAAAAGCTTTGAAAATTTAATCATTTTTGTTGAGGAAAGCCTGCAAAACCTAGCAGTCCTTGGCAATTCGCGCAGGAAAATCCATTAAAAGTACGAAATGTTCCAAAAAATGTCGATATTTTAGTGTTTGCACATGAGATTTACCGTTATTTAGAAATTGCAAAGGCGTTTCCCCAAAAAAATCGGCTTTTGAGAAATAAATTTTGCTCAAAGGCCTTTGCAACATTACGAGCTTGTACCATTCGCTTTCGAAATCTTCGTTTGCATTAATAAAAATTGCGGAAAGATTTGATTTTTTTAGGGATTTTCTGTATGACCCACCGAAAATGAGCAGACGCGTGTAAAAAAAACAGTTTGCCAGGCGAAAACGCTCTGATAAAACTTCGAGAACGGGAAGTTGGTATTTTTGCGTCCAACTTTTTAACCACCGTAAATTGCCCCTTACACCCTGTGGGCTAAAGGTAGTTCTCAAAACGCTCTATCAAAAAGCTTCCAATGAAGGTTTAGGTAAAATTAACCATTTCAGAGATATTAGGCCGTAAACTTTAAGGGTTTCTTAAATTTGGATATTTTTGTTTTTATCTCTTTAGAGGTTAGGAATTGCTGATAAAGCCCTAGTGATTAAAGATAGATCTCAAGGCGATCCTTCTAAAAGGTTATTATGACTAATCAGATATTTTTACCGGGTTAGGAGATATGACGTTTTAAAGGTTTCTAAGGCTGATAAAGGAGAAAGCGTTGCTAGAATTTTCAATATCTTTTTTATTTGGCTCGGAAAAGGCTTTAATTAAAAGCAAATTGCATCATTCAGCAAATGTGTTTAAAATCAAATCAAGCAACCGCTGTATCTTGTCAGCAAATTGTTTATACCACGCAACTTGATAATCCGAGGAGTTTTATCGGGAAATTCAACACCGGCAGACTTGAGGACAGAAATTATGCAGTCAATGAACGAGCACAACGAACAATTTACCAGCAAACTTGACAGTTTTCTTTGCTAATGTCATCGGTTTTGACGTGTGGAATTAGTGTCAACCGCCATTCAAATCAGGGGCGGCACTTTTCCTTAGTCATTTTGCCATTAGCCTTCGCCACAATAGGTCAATTGAACCATAACCAATCAGAAACGGCATCGTTTTGTTCTCCATGACCTACCTTGATCGGTCATATATTTTACATATTTTTTATTTTCCTTGACTATTACCTTATATATACCTGGCAATGGAAGGTTTACATTGGCCAAGCTAACTAGATCGGTATTAGAGACACAAAAAACAAAATTATAAGAGAACAATTGGTATTCTTTAGGCGGCTGTTTATGGGTACTGAAAAGCGCATTTTTATGCTTATTAAATGGGTGAAAAAACAAAATATGCATTCTGAAGGCACGCGAGTATCACTGCGCATACCAATTTACTTTTAGTGGCTTTTTGAAAATCAACTGCACGCCAGGCATCTGTAATAAGCACGTATTTTTCGGGCTGCAAATGTTTAAAAAACCCACATCAAAAAAACTCAATAAACAGCAGTAACGATAAAACCACTTGAATTTGAGTAGCAAATTGAGTTCAGGGCCTTTCCAGACAAATTCCGAAAAATCGAGTCGAGACATTGGAATTTAACCCGAACAATTAGCGGAGTGTATGCTAATAGGAACCAGCTGTGGAAATAGCAATAAAATCACTTTGGCATGTTTATCCAGATGCATTGTTCCAGCCAATGAAGACAAATTGAAGATTTTTGACTTGAGGAATCGGCAAATGTAAATGCGAAATAATTATTCATAGACAGTGCGAATAAATTAGTAATTAATTGAAGGCGAAAGACGCGCAGTAGCTCAACAGGTGCATCGATAGTGAACACATTGACGGACATAAAGAGGAACAAATATCATATTGATTGCGTAACTGTTTGGTTAAGTTAATAGCTATTTTTATCATTTGAATTTTTCTTCGCCGAAGAGCTTGATGACAAATGAATGTTGCCAAGTTCCTAAGATCTCCTTTACAACCCAAAAAAGCTCTGGACCAAACTGAGGCAAGAAACTGGACTTTGAAGATATTTAACGTGGAAATTTATTACTGTTGGTTTGTCTTTAGGTGCTGGTTATTTTCAGTGAAGCTTCGTCTTCAATTAGTTTTCGGGAACATTTTTGGAAATTCAATAGATTCGGGTCGATTGGATTGATTTACCAACAGCTGTTTTGATTTACGCGCCCGCTTCGGGAAAGTGGGCCGTTAAATTTGATGGAGCCATTAATTCGATTGTGCGTGTTTCCTGGACAAATCGGGAATTTTCGTAAAATTATCCCAATTGCTGTCATCAGTTTCTTTTAATCCAAACTTTTTTAAAGTTTCTGGTCAGGGGATTGTTGATGGAAAGCCTACAAAACACTGAAGGCCTTGGCTATTCGTGTTGAAAAGTGCCTCAGTACTGGAAAAATTGGGAAGAAAGTCAGATTTTTTCTGTTTATACATAAGCGTTTGCTCTATTGACGAGAATGCGCAAACAATTTTTTAAGGAAAACCGCTATTTTCAATTAAATTTTCTTCAAGGGCCTCCGAAACATTACAGGCTTGTGTCACTAGGTATCCGGAAATTCAGAAGCAATAGTAGAAAATGCCAGTAGAGTAAAAGCTTTTAAGGATAATAGCGAGAGAACGGGTTTATTTTGGATTAAAAGTTTTCAGAATTAAATTGTTTTTAATAAATTAAATAAGGAAATTTTATAAGATGTAGATTAGAGCAGATATAAGCGAGGAAAGGTCAGGACTGCTTAAAAACCGCCCAAAATTCCTCGATTTCTGCATCTATTTCAGTATTCAGCGCTTTATCAGGTTTATCTTTGAGCTGCCTGCATTTCTCACGAGCTTGCATTGAAAATAATGTAGAATTTGAGGCGATTTCAGTTTTTTGCAAAAAGTAGAGAATTTTCTTAAGAATACAAATTTTTATAAACATTCTGCCATTGAATCATAATTTTTTGTTCAAAAGAGAAATTTTCGAAAAATCATGTTTTCCAGTCACAAGATTGTTGAGGAAAGCCTATAAAACATTGGAGGCTTCGCAATTCGGGTTGAAAAGTTCGTCAAAACTGAACAAAATTGACAGAAAGTCGGATTTGCTGCTGTTTATACATAAACGTTTGCTCTATTGACGAGAATGCAAAAGCACTTTTTCGAGAAAAAGCGCTAATTTCAATTTAATTTTGCCCAAAGGTCTACGAAAATTTACAGGCTTGTTCCATTAGGTTTCGGAAAAACCAGTAGCATTAGTGAAAAATGCCAGTAAAGCGAAAACTATTAGGGTATACGTAAAGACAAAGGGTTTATTTTGCATTGAAAGATTGCAAAATTAAATTATTTTTATTAAATTAACAAAAATATATATATTTTTAATTTCTAAAAACTGTCAAAATCGAACATTAAGGGAATCACAGCAAAAGTKTCAGTGTGTCAGAGACTAACAAGCCAAAAAAGTTCGGTTAACGAATAAACGTTTGCAAAACCTTGCAGCTCTGTCTTCAACAATCCAAAACTGACTAAAAACTAATAGAATTTTAAAATAAATGCCACACACTCTTATAAGGTTTCCTCTAACTAAAACGCTCTAAACGACATAACCAAGAAAGAGAGTTTTTGAAAATTTTAATTTTATTTTAAAAATTAATATAACTTCAAATTCAAAAAAAATCGTTGACATTGGCTGAAAAATGTTGTGCTTGAACTTAAAGACTGCTTCCATCGAATTGTTGCAATGCATATTTTCAATTACAAGAAAATTTCAGTCCGGTAGTTCCAGTTGGGACAAGCCTACAAAACATTGCAGTCCTTTGCAATTTGAATTTCCCGAAATACCGAAAACTGTGGCGAATTTCGAAAAAAATCCAACAGTTTGGTGATCCAAGACCGCAAAATGTCCCTATTGACAAAACCCACAAGCGATCAAAACCGGGCTTTTCCAGTAAAATAATTATTGAATCAAAGCCTACAAAACTTTACAGCCTGTCCCCATCGGGTTTCCAAAAATAAAAAAAATGCCAAAAAGTGTTTGCACCCATTAACCACTCAGGACCATCGCTTCTCCTTCCAGATGTTTACTTCAACAAAACCTTCATCAATCACAGTCAATTCATTTGCATCTATCAATTGGGAACATCAATTGACGCCACTGGTTTTACGAGCAACAATTAGCACCATTACCGCTGTTGAAACAAACAAATAAAACAGCGGTTTCATTGTCAAATAAATCGGGTTGCGCGCTTATTCTTGGCACATTAAGCGACAATAAATTTGGTTTATTGCCAATACAATTGCTAGTTCAATGTTTTATCAACCTTCTTGTATGGATCATAAAAGTAACTATGCATTTTTTTGGTTTCTACCCAGATGAGGAACAGTCAGCTGCTATGGCACAGTGCGCTGTTGCTTCTTGGATACCTCACTTTGGCTTCCCTACAAGTCTACGATGATATGAGCGACTTGAGAGGAAGCTACTGTGAGTACATTGGGTGTTGCCAGAACAGGAAGGATACCTGCTCCAAACCCATCATAGGTAAATGATCCAGGAAATTGTTCGCGTAGGGGAAACTAAGTAGGTTTGGAAGTAGGCACTTTATGCTACTGTGATGACTTTTGCAACCGCACCGACGTGCATGACTGCTGTCCAGACTACTGGTCAGTCTGTTGGGGCCTGGAAATCACCACTCCACTGCCGCCTCCCACCACTCGGAGGCCTCCAGAACAAATCACCTCCTGTACCTTTAAGAATCGCGTCTACTTCGTCAACCAAACCACCAGGGACAACTGCAAGAACTGGTAGTGGATCCAGATGGACCCAGACCGTCTCCATACTAACCTCCTCTCCTGCTTGCAGCCGCTGCGTCCCCACTGGAGTCCAGAAGGTGGAAATGATGTGCGATCCAGACGTTTGTCTGATCGACGATGAAATCCTCTATGCAGTCAACGCAGAGTCGCACGGCTGGACCGCCTCCAACTACTCGAAGTTCTGGGGCGAGACTCTGGAACGGGGCGTCAAATACAGGTAACCATCAAGGCCTCCATTCTAGCCCGCTTTGGTGAGCGCAGCTTTTTCCAGACTGGGAACATTGCAGCCCAAAAAGGACGTGATTCGCATGAATCCAGTCAAACGCTACTACGATCCAGCTATGCTTCCCACACACTTTGACAGTGCATCAGAATGGCCCAGGTATGTCACGGGCATTCAGGATCAGGAATGGTGTGGATCTTCATGGGCCATTTCAACTGCTGCTGTTGCTTCAGATCGGTGAGTTGGGACGACTGTTCACAGTAGAGTCTAGTGTTTCTTTGACAGCTTTGAATGGAACAGGTGTCAAAAAGTGGGCCCGAAAGTGTCAAACTGTCATAGGCAGTGAATGGCAGTCATGGTATACGTGGCAGCTTATGGAAAGTGGGTCGTTAAGGTTGATGGCGTCTTTAAAGCGAGCTGTGTTAATTGTGAGCTTTTCCTGAACAGCTCGAAAATTTTCGAAAAATTATCCAAAATTTTCAAAATAGTGACGGTTCCGTCGTTGAATTACAAGAGTATTTTTATCGAAAGAGAACTTTTAGAAAAATCGTGGTTTCTCATCAGCGGCTTGTAGGGAAAGCCTACAAAACATTGGAGGGCTTTGCACTCGGCGTTGAAAAATTCGTCAAAACTGAGAAAAAATGGAAGAAAGTGGGATTTTTCGCTGTTTATGCATGAACCTGTGCTATACTGACGCGGATGCACGAGCATTTTTTCACGAAAGAGCGATATTTTCAGTTAAATTTTATTCAAAGGCCTGCGAAACATTACAGGCCTGTGCCAAGCATTAGTTGAAAGTGCGAGGAACTTTGGGGCCTCAAAATGACATTTTAAAGTCGGGTGGGAAAGCTTTTAGAAAATGTTGGGTTTTCTGTTCCCTTTTGAATTTGATTCAAAAATTCATCAAAATTTAATCTTTTTTTTACAAACTTCTTTTTGGGTATTTTGCCTCAAAAATTTTTGTCTTTAAAAAAGACAGAATTTTCTCACGTCTTTTATTACAGATTGATAA